TTATCCGGGTCCGGGCTCGTATAGCGGGAGCGGCGGGACTTTTCGCGCTCGGCCGAAGAAGTAAGTTCCGGAATCTTCTAGTCGAAGTACGAGATCTCGGTATACTTAGAAGGCGAAGTATCCTTAGAGACCTCGAGCGGCTTTTTATAGATAGTACGCGGGTACTCTATAGAAATATTCTTAGGCTCCTACTTAAGATAAATAGAGGAATCCTCCGAAGAAGCTACGGACGGAACCCGGATCGGGAACTAGGAGGAAGAACTAACCTAAGAATCGATACGTATATTAATAGTAAAGACCTATAGAACTAAGTATTAGAAGGGGCGGGAGTTAGTAACGGGAGTATTAATAGAAGAGAGGGAAACTTAAGAAGAAAGTAGAAGTTAGAAATTTAAGGCGTTAAGAGGCGGGTCTAAGAGAGAAGATAAAGAGTAGGTAAGATAGTAGCGAGGAGGTAAGAAAGGGGAGTAAAGGGAACGTAAGAATTATAAAGATAAAGAGGAGATTCTAAGGGTAATATTAAAAGCCCGCGGAAGGAAAGGGTAAGTACGAAAGCTTACCTTAGGTAACGAATAAAAAAGAAGAAGAGGTATTAGAGAAGAATCGGCGGAATATAACTAGGAGCCTAGATAGTTTATACGTATAGTGGTTAAGGGGTTAGATATGCCGGCGAGCGGAGGAACGTTTAGCCGAATAAATTATCTAATCGAGAGAATTAGGGCTAGTTAAGATATTCTAAGGGTTTTAGATATAATAGGGCGTACTAGCTACTAGAAGAAAGGATTATAGCGGGGCTATTACGGAAGGCGGTAGGGACTTTAGAGAATTAGCCGGAAGGAACTCGGCCCGAGGGGAGTATTACGGAAGTTTATATATTTAAGTCGGAGGTTATAATTTTAGTAGTCGATATATATTCTTTTCTACTCCTTTTAGACCGGAACGTCTAGATTCCCGCCTACTAGAGTAGAAATTAACGGGATTTCTTACTCTCTAGCGAGAGCCCGATAAGAAATCTAGAAAAACCGTAGTATTACTACTACTATAATACGCGAATAGTAAAACTATATAGAGTTTATTAAATCTTCTCTCTACTAGAATTACTATCGTTAGTAGGTTTATTAAAAGCTTTTATTAAGCTAATAAAGAATAAAATCGTTAAATAACTCTAAACGCTACTACTAAAAGAGATTTATAACTAGAATCTCTATATCTAACCGATTATTTAGATATTAAATATAAGAGTACTAAAGATATATAGATTTACGCTAGCGTAACTTCTATTAGACTTTAATCTAAGATTTACGAATATCTTAATAGTCGAGAATAAAGTATAAGTAATTAACTATACGGTTATCGCCCATACTTTAACTAACGATATACCGACTATAGAAGCTATAATACGTATAACTCGTCTAGACGAAATTTAATAATAAGCTATAAATCTTTAAGCGATATAATAATAAAAGTTACTTATAGAAAATAAAATATAGATTATATCTAAGTAAGGCGATCTAGTTCTACTACGTAACTTCGCCCTAGATATATAGAAGGAAAAGAAGTTTATACTACGATAAAGAGAACTATATCGAATTAAACGAATAATCGCTATAAAGAGATTAGTAGAGTTAGCTAATATAAATACCGATAAAAGTATTAGCCGATACTATATTAATAATATAAAGCTATACGTAGCTAGAGAGGAGTAAATCTACTATAAATAGTAGAAGAAGATAGCGAAGAAAGATCTAGAGTACGTAAAAGAGTAGGCTAAGATTAAAGAGATTTAAATAGTAAAGTACGTTAGCTAGTAAGTAGCTTAGATAGAGAAGAATAGATTAAATTATAGAGAAGAAAAATAATAAAATAGCGAACTAAACGAGAGCGAGTAAAGAAAGAAAGAGACTATAAGATAACTAAGTAGATAATAGAATTTCTTTCGAGAATTATTAATAACCTATATTAATAATTAAATTACGGGGGGATAGAAGATAAGCTAAGACGTTTTAGCGTTCTTTAAGATTCGAAATATAATATTATCCGTAATAAAGAAGTTATTTAGAATTAGTAAGAAGTAGCTTTAAAAGAAGATAATAAGATAGATAGACTAATATTATATATAGAGCTTAGAGAGCGTCTAGACCTTAAGATAGATTTAAAGACTATATAAATATCGATAGTATTAGACGGAATAGAGTTATTTTATTAGTATAAGGTTATAGAATAGGGTTATTAGACGTAGAATTTAATCGAAAGAAAAGAAGCTTCTAGTTAAACGATACTACTTTATTACTAATACCGCTTTATTATCGATACCGCTTTATTATCGATACTACTTTACTATTACTCTACTAAGGCTTTACTATTACCGTACTAGCTTTCTTATCTAGTATAATAGTATCCGCTACCGAAGATTAGACTTACGATACTATCGTTAAGTAGAAGCTATCGCCGATTATTCTCGATAATATTCTAGCGTTAGAAACGATAAAGGGCGGGCGTTAGAATCTCTACCGTTTAAACGATAATTATTAAAGTTTATAGTCTCGTAGCCCGAAGAATTAAGAGTAACTATAGTCGATTAAGTCTAACGTCTAAGATATCTTATTAGAAGGCCCGCTTATTAGCTCTACTAGCTAGTATCTAAAAATAGAATAATCTAGTACGGGCGATATTATATCTCTACTAAGTTAGTTTAAGTAACTTTACCTATTAGAAATCCTACGGGAGATCTAAGAGAATAAAGATAAAGAACGACTCTAGTTTCTAGAAGATACTCTATACGTAGAGATCTCGTTAATAAAGAAGTAAAGAGAAGAACTACGACTCTTACGACTACTATTTATATAATAATTCTTCTACCGAAATATTATTAGAAAGAAGATACTATTTAATTAAAAGAAACGCGAGCTCGAGGAGTTCTAGACTAGCTAGAATAAAATAAGATAATATAGAGTTACTAATAATCTTTTAATAGCTAAAGAATTAGATAAACGAGATACCGAAGCTATTAAGACTAAAATAGACGATATTAGCCGAATAGCGATAAGTAGACTATTAGTTAAGTTAAAGAATTCTTAAAGATAAGACGAAGAGAAGTTAAATAACGAATCTAATATCTCTAACGATAATCTAGAACTATAACTAACGTAATTTAGGACTATTAAGCTAGATAAGAAGAAGTTTTAAATTAAAGTCGACTAATAAGGCCGGCCTCTAAATAAACTAAAGATAGATTATTACGAGAAGCTCTAGCTAAAGAAAGAGGCTTCTTTAAAATACGTTTTAGATATAGTCTAGAAACTTAAAAGAATAATAGATAACTACGTTAAAATCGATTCGAAGATAAGTAAACTAAAGTAAACTTAATCGTTTATAAAGTTAAAGATCTTTAACTACGCTTCTAAGTTAGGCGGAAATTATAGATACGACGAAAGAGAGCTATATTTACTATTTTAGTATTATTTTATAACTAAAGGCGATATTCGCGATAGTAGCGAACTTAGAATATTTAGCTTTTAAGCGTTAGAGATTAACTCTAACTTATAGAACTTTCTTAATAACGTAGAACGAAAGAAGGCGGATAACTATAAAAGCGATTTCTCTTTCTTTAAGACCGACGGTTTATTCCGGACTAAAGCGACTAGACTAGTAAACTAAAAGCGTAGTCGAACGGAACGACTTAAGAAAACGCCGAGTCTTAAGAACGTAATAAAGAATATATATAGTAACTATAATCTATTTAAGTTAAACTAGCTACCGGTTAAGATAGAATTATTATATATTATATATTACTAAACGGTTATACCCGAGTATCTCGGTATAAGTCGGCTAGGCCTATAATAGAAAAAGCTTATTAGATTAGTATTAGCTATACTAGAACGAGAAGCGTAGCTTATAAAAGCCGTAGATTAATAATATAAGATTTAAGTATAAAAGAATAAGAAGATAACGAAAGAAGTTAATTTCTATAAATAATCGTTTAACTTTATAATCGCGTAATATAACGCGTTACTAGATTAGACTCTAGAGTACTACGAGAAAGTATCGTTAAAGTTCTTTAAGATTATCGACTAGAACTTATAAAAAGCTCGAGATAGATATACTACGATATAAGTAAGAAAGAAAGCTCTTAGCGGATTCTCTAATTATTAAATTCTAGATTACTTCGTATTAACGACTACGGGTGATATTAACGACTACGAATTTCTAAGCGACGACTATAAGTAAAGTTAAGATTAAGATAACGAAATTAGTACTAATAATATCGTAGAACCGAACTTAAAGAGATAATATAAAAAGCTAGCCGTTCTACGCCTTATATACGATAACCCGATAGAAGAAATAGATATTAACTAGTTCTCCGGCGTCGAGAAGATTAACGACTATTAAAATCTAGATTACGATAAATACTAAGACGATAGATAGCCTTTAAAAGTAATATTAATTACGGACGATATTAATAAATTACCTTTAACTAAATAAAGGGGACGAATATAGATAGATAGACTAAATTAAATAAGAGTAAATAAGAGATAGATAATAGAGTTTACGGTAGTTTTTTATAATTAGAGTATAGAGTTTTTAAAAGTGTTTACTTTCTCTTAGGCGTTAGTTAAAATATAAGGGAATTCTTAATATAGGTTATATAGTAAGAGACCTATAATAGGCGTTTAGTATACGGCTATTAAGCCCTCTATTTAAAGAACTTAAGAATTATAGGGGGATAAACTATCGGGCCGATATTTAGCCGGATCGCTACCTGGCTTCTGCGCTCGTAGCTAGCACTTCTAGATAGAATACTACACCCCTCCGACTTACGTTATTAATACGATGATCTTTATTATCTCTTACACACCCCCTCTTTACCACCTCAAGGGTCTCAGCCTCGTGCTCGTAGCACACAACACGATGCCAATAATTTAGGGTCCTTTATCTGTCTTCTACTTAAGCCATCTAAAGGACCTAAGTCCGTTAGCTCGCTGCTTGTCCGACCGCAAAGAATGTCACCGCCAAACAATATGGCGTCTCCGAGCGAACACGACTCTGAAAGACACACAGAGGTGCAGCCACTCGCTACCGAAGCAGATGACCATCCAGAAGTGTCACCCCTTCTCCTAAATCCTCAATCTTCCTCTGGCGCTTTTGGTTCGAACGAATTGTCTTCTGGTGATAATGGTGTTCGTGTGGAGCAACGTTCACTATCTGACGGTAAGTGCCGGAATAGATTTGGTATATTATCAACCGTGTCATTGACGATATCTAGAGCCAGAAGATCAGGAAAATGCATTCTCAACGGAGGCTGCATCTTCTGCGTCTGTTCTTCATGGCAGATGGTTCCCTTATACACTGGAATGGCCATTTCTTAGCCTTTTGGCCCTTTTCACCTGCGGATTGACGCTCACAGTCATCGGATTGTACTGGTACTCCGCTACCCATTACGGTTTAGGCAACGACAACGACACCGCCCTTCTCTTTTTTGCATGGAGGTTTGCCCCATCGCTCATCGCTGTCATTTACGTCCAGATGACAGCAATGGTACTCGACGACGTCAAGAGGACCGAACCTTTTGCACGGATGGCAAGACCAAATGGTGGACTGGGCTCTTGGACAATCCTTCAAAGCTCCGGAGCCTGGTGGAATGCCCTGGCTGACGGGATATCCAAGAAGAAGAACGCCAACCACCGAAGCTGGATTCTCATTGCTTCCGCTCTCATCAACATCTTAGGTTTCCTCGTGATCTCTCCTCTTTCACCCTCTCTACTGGAACCTACCAGCATCACTATAGTGGAGCACACGGACTTTACAGCACTCGCACCAAACTCTACATTGCCATTGAGTACTGACAGGGAGACATATCTGCGCATCCTCGGCAACATCCTTCAGAACGTATCAACCTCAGCCTGGATATCGGAAGACTTTACATTCTTTCCAATATGGCCTTCAGATCTCGTCGATGCCCCACTCGGTCCTTCCTTATCTTCAACGCCGGAGGAATGGCACGCCGAAACTCTCGTTATGAACACAGAGCTTGATTGCAAACCAATGGTTTTGAAGCATACTCAGATGACGAATGAGAGCTCTGTCAACGACTTAAACGAGACGCAGTGGGCCTTGGGAGCTCTGGCCTTGTTGACTTCGGATGATGGATGCGATTTGACCATCAAGATGGATGAACGTTACGCGGTTATCGGAGCTGCATTTTGGTCTGCGATTCACGACCTACCATCGTGGGCAATAGGAAATTACTCGGCAGAATGCGGGGAGAGAGAGTTCGTTGGCGCCATGACTTCGTTGGCGCACTACAACAACGGACCTCTGGAGCTCACGCCTGACTTCACCATCTCTGCACAAGTATGCGCAGCCAACTACTACATGGCCAAGATTCAAGTCAAAGCCCTTTCTACGGGAACCGAGTCTGAGATCAGCTTCGATGAGAGCACGTATTACGGCCATCGTAGACCGATTCCAGCGGGGACCTTGAACGTCGAAGCGGCCCAAGAAATAGCCCTTTCTTCAAACTGGTCACGATACATGCCATACCACATGCCATACATCGCATCACCCGAAGCACCCGTAATTGATGGCTTGGTACTGAATCTAGCGGCACTGTATGATTTCGACGTGGGAGAAATGGCTAGAAACAGCGATCTAGTCACGCCAGCAAGAGGAATCAAGCAGCGGATTTTTGGAGAGGTTGTACAGCGTTCTCTTCTTCATCAGGAGCAATCAAGCCAGATCTCCGTCAAAGGCTTGGTCAAGAGGGTCGAGCGCAGGATAGTCGTGGTCTCCGGTATTGCCATCATGGTTGTGACAGTTCTTCTGATATCACTGGCTCTATTGCTGGTCGTCTGGGTATCTTCGAGACCCTGCCGTCGGCCTCTTCACCTAAACGCGGATCCTGGAAAGGCTACAACGCTCTGTTCATTGATTGCAGATCAGCCACATGTCCGACAAACTTTCTCTGGGGTCGATCGGTACTCCAACAACGGTATGTATGGGGCCATCCGCAAGAACCGGTACCATACCTCATTTCAAGCCCTGCATGAAACACCCGGCCGTAATGGGCCTGTAGTCGGTAAGTGACGATCTCTGTATCATATAGGTAGATTACTAAAGCCTTCCTACAGAAGATGCTGCCTCGAAGGACCCAAAGCCTTCTCGGTCAATGTCATTACCAGCAGCTCTACGACTGCGAACGTTGTGTGGTTTGATGATGGCTCTGGTAGTGGTTCTGGTCACTCTCTCGGTACTCTACAGCTTTGCGGAGCGCTCAAGTCTTCATCAAGCTTTCTTTACTTATGAGGCAAGCATAACGTTACTCAGCCGAAAGAAGGCTCCCGTGGCACCGACATCGATCATCCCGACATTTGTAGCTGTCGGAATAGGGCTTTGGTGGGGTTCCATGGACGCAACATTTCGGAGATTGCAGCCTTTTCTTTCAACTGCCAACGAGCCCACGCCAGCATCTCATGGAGTCGCCCTGTCATACCAGTCATCTTATTGGGTTGCAGCCGCCATCAAAGCAGCTTCAAACCGCCATTGGTTTTTATGTTTCATCACCCTCGGCACCACGTTATCTCAGATATGTGAGCTTTCTGTTCCCTACTCAATCTGCTTTGCAAAGCAGTAGTCCCGAACCCCAAGCAGGCAGCTAACGTCTCACAAGTTACCATCTCAATGTCGGCATTGTTCCAACGCAGCCAAGCCATCCAGACTACCGCCTCGATATTGGAGCGAGACCTTGAGATACGGGACATACCCTTAGTCTACAAAATGTTTTCCCAACAGGCATGGAATAGCGACTTGACGCCTATCTCGGTTCTTGCTAATATCTACACACATCTGACAACAAATTGGCTCTACAGCGCCACCCTTCAATTAACACTAGGTGCACGTCAGCCACCGTGGAGCCGTGATGGCTGGAGCTTTGTTCCGCTCGTCACAGACCATCTAGCCGGTTTCAGCGCTACAACAGGTTCGGGAGCCTCATTCTTCCAGCCTGTGGTCAACGTCACGGTTCAAACTCCCGCGATTCGAGCCAGGCTCGAATGCAATCAGTACGGGGGACTAGATAACTATTCCTCATGGCTAACGCAATGGGACATGACCAACTCTTCTGTATGGAATCAGAGCACCATTCCAAAAGACATAGTCACTGGGTACGAGCTCGGAGCGGGCGCAGACAAGACAGCTTTCTTCAACACGTCATTCTTCACGAACCCATCCAAGGTCCAGTGCTATTCCAACGAAACAGGATATCCCTCGGGAAACTTGGCCTTTGGATACTGGTCCTCGGACGACGGCGTCGAAGCTGATCCGTACGACCACATGAACATTTCAATCAAGTGGATATACGGGCATGGAGTTGCGGGGTGTCGGATGAACGACGAAGAACCATCCTACGCATACGGCATGCCCACCCGCAACCGCCTCATCTTCACCGACGTTCCCGCGATAGCAGCCGTCTGCTGCGCCCCCATCATAGAGACGGCCGAGGCCAAGGTGAGGGTGAACAGCGGCACAGGGGAAGTGCAGTTCTTCTCCATCTTGAGCGAACCGAAAGTCAACAATGAAGCCTGGAGCGACGAAGACAAGTACTGGGACGTCAACCCTGCCACATACGGCGACGGCAGTAACGAAGTCAACACAACAACAAGTTTCGGCTTCCTCTTCCAACACTCCCTCCTCGGCGCCGCCAACGTTAATGGCCTCGACCCGGGAGATGAAGCACCCTTCGAATACGAAGACCTCAGCGACCAGTCCTTCAACTACCGCGACCCCAACCGCGGTCTCAACCTCGACTTCATGACCTACTCCATGTACACCGAGTCGGGCCAAGCCGACCCCCGCGCCCTCACCAACGCCACCACCCTCGAGCACTACGCGCAGCGCACCTTCGCGACCTTCTTCCAGCACTTCGTCAGCAGCAACCTCTCCCTCACCACCGGCGGCTACGCCTACCAAGCCGTCAACGCCACGCTGCCCTCCGACCTGGGTGCCGCGAGCGACGGCGACGCACTGAACCTCTCGGTGCCGCACTCGCGGACCAATCGGCGTGCCGAGGCCTTCGTCGCGGCACCCGTTGAGGTGCTTGAGATGAACCCCGTCGCCGTGTGGCTTAGCATCGGGGTGCTCGTGTGGTTGATCGTGACGACGGGCGTTGTGGGCGCGATGCAGCGGAAGTATCTGAGGAATCTGGAGAGCGATGTCGAGTGCGTTGCGGACGTGCTTGCGCTGGTTGCCGGGAGTGAGAGGTTGTTGGCTTGGGTGAGCGAGAAGGGGGCGGAGGGGCAGGAAGGGGGCAAAGAGGGCGTGGTGACGAAGTTGGGGTGGTTTGAGGACGGACGAGGGGGAAGGCGGTGGGGGATCGAGGTGGTTGAGGGGCCTGTGCGGTCGGATGGAGCTGAGGTGGGGGCGATGCGAGACGTGGAGTAGTTACGGGGTGGTGTGATTTGCGGACCAAATTGCTGAGAAACAACTGTATTTGCGTATGGAGTTTTCCTATGCCAATCCGACTGCTTTTTGAATTCGGTGTAGTATCTGCATGCACCTCCTCCGCCTGGACGCGAAATCCTTTCATCTCAAACACGGTTATGCTTGAATGACACTTTGACTTCCCCCTCGTCAAGTACTGTCGCAAAGACGTCACGTGGCGTCACAGTCTTCGTTACAAGTTCCATGTCAAATTTGCGGAAGACGTGAGCGAACATGGCAAGCAGTTCGGCTTCGGCGAGGCTGGCCACACATATCAGCAACTGACAAGCATTGTGCATACATGGCTGGGTAGGGGAGTGCATACTTGATACCAATACATTGCCTCGATCCCTTCGAAAAAGTGACCAGATAGTTGGCCAGGTGCTTCGCGTCGTCTGTGAGCCAGCGTTCTGGCCGGAACTCGCGAGCGTCCGGGCCCCAAACACTCTCGTCGTAGTGAACAGAGTATGCAGAGCACCCGATAATAGCCTGGCTTTGATCAGTATCGTCAAGGGACAAGGGGGGCTGGGGGAGTCTGGGAGATTGTCAACGTACACCAGGAGGGATGACTTGTCCATCGATGACCATAGGAGGGCCATCGGCGGGAACCACGCGTGGAAGACGCCCTGATACTGGCATGGATACACGGAGGGACTCTTTCATGCATGCCACCTGTGCACCGCCAGTCAGTAAGTCGCATGCAGATATTCCAAGGAAATGCTCTCTCATACCAGGTACGGAAGGTTCTCGAGGTCGCCGAGAGAAGGCATCTGATCTGGGTCTACGATATGTTCCCGCAACTCCTTCTCGAGCTTTTCTCTGGCCTCGGGCGCGTTCAGGATGTGGAATGTGCCGACGGAGAGCGTGTAAGCCGTCGTGTCGGAACCGGCAATGAGGACGGACATGGCTTCGGAGATTTTTTCCAAATCCGAGTACTGGTCCAGCATGTCGAACATGACAGGATACGAGACTTTTGTCGTGCGTTCCTTCACCAGCTGCAGACACATTGCCGCGTGCTATTTACAGGATCAGTACGGCCCGGGATGAGAAGCAAGCTTCACTTTCAGCCCACCTTGAACATTTTGACGACGTTTCGGGCTCTTTTGTCCAGAACCATGATGGCCCAGAATGGGAGGTTTGGCAGGATGTCTCTCTTGAGCGGGTTGTTGTAGATTTGTTTCTGAACGCCGAGGGCGGCGTCGAAGATGCGCAGGTAGTCGGCCTTGAAGTTTTCGGGGGCCTCGTTTGTCAAGTCCAGAGTTATTCCGAAGGAATAGGCGCTGATGATGTCTACGGTCAGGCAGCGGTACGCGTCGACGATGTTGATGGGTCCAGTGCCAAGGCGCTCGGATATCTTTTGCGAGATGCAGGATATCCTCTCAAGAACCAAAGGGTAAATGCCGGCGATGGTTCGCTTGGAGAACAGCGGGTTCATCAACTTTCTCTTTTCCCTGTGCTTCGCGATTTCCATCTGGCCGAAGAGAGAGCCGGGAGCGAGAAAGCCGGCGTAGAAGACATCGTACTTTGGCGGGGAGTGGTAGTTGTAGATTTTCTTGTACCACTCGGCGCCAGCAACGTGAAGCTCGTTGGGTGAGATTCGGATGACGCTGCTGTCTGACTCGGGTTAGCATGGATTCCTTGCATCGGATGCCGGCATATATACTGTACTGCTCGTGCCAGCGCTCGAAATCGGCCTCCGGAAAGCCCTTGCGATACAGCCACCAGAGCGTAAGAGAAGAAAGAGCCGCTAGAGGCGGGCCTGGAAATCTTGCCAGCGGATGGAAGAACCTCCGATATATTGCCAAAGTGACAAGGTAAAAAATAGGCAAAGTAAAGAGCAGTCGGAACATCTCGTCGGTGGCTTGAGCAATGTCTGTAACGGGTTTACGCAGTGGCGCAAGTCGAAAGGAACATTTAAGGTGGGAACAAGTGTCTAAGCTAATGGAGCCTCGGGCATATCCAAACTCGAAACGTCCGATTGGTGCATGCTGCGAGGTCGTCTGAGCTTAAATGCGAGCCTATAGTGCGCTTGATCGGACGCTTATCGCCGAGCATGGCTCGCATACAACGCTGGCGCCAAGGGTTGTTTCAAGCACGGCCGTGTCATGGATACCGAATCCATCATGGTAAAATGTCGATCCACATGCACCCCGCTCCCGAAAATGTCCGGAAATATCCGACCTCCGAGCAAAGATCTGAACGATACTCCTCGCCTCGTTTTCGCCCTGCTTGCTCAGTGTAGAGATTTGGGATGGTTAAATTGCAAGCCGTTCGTAACAAACGCTGGGCTGCAGAAGCACTTCCAACATGGGTGTGGATTTTCACACGAGATCTACGCGTAGATCCATGGAACAAGAACTACCACCCATCTGGGTCACAAAAGATCAGCAGTAGTAGACAGGCAGACGGCAATCATTTTGAAAGCTGACCAATGGATATCCCAGTCACACCACAATCCGTCGGTTGCGGATTCGCTTAATGCATGGCAGAATACCGTTCTATCAAACGAGTGTTTTCTTGTCGAGTTTCTCATAAGTCGGAAGGGAGTTCAGTGGAGCGCGGGCAGACTAACGGGTATGGAAGCCTCACGCCCCACAGTTCGGTCAGGCAGACGTGCAACCTTACGCCAGATGTCCAAATCAAATGAAAACCAGCATCAACACATGCTTAGCATCAAAGAGCTTTAAAGTATTCCTGCGGATCTTTCGGTAAGAACAAGACTTAGTTTATATATTCCTTACCTGAAGGACCATCTATATCCATCCTGTTTTGTGGAACTGTGATCAACTCTGGTTATAGATCCTTCTCGGCCTTGTCGCGGTCGCACAATGTCCAGCGAATTGCGAAGCGCTGGGTGCACACACCGTGATTGGTGCTTACCACCAAGAAGGACACTTCACGTGGATGGTGGCTAGGGCTTTTCGTTGGCCTCATCATCTCAACAATTGTCCTTGTCAGCACTGTTGACCATCGGTGATTGCACACATGGTGATAGACTTGGCTCATGCACGGGACATGCGGTCTGGCATTCGACTCTGTCACCCGGACCGGAGGGGAATCGGGCAGGACTGCTTGACTTCGAGCTGGGCAAGTACGCTCAACTTGTCTACGTAGAAGTTGCGAATGCCGTCGCCCCGGGTGAGCCTACCGGCATACCACCCCTCGGTAACCTCGACTTCGACAACGCTCTCGCCCTCCTAAAAGAATTTGGTCACGTCATAGACCTGTTGTAGCTTGTCTAACCTGGCGTCACCTGCATATCACCTACCCGGCGGCCGTTGATGTGGGGCTCGTACACGCCAAGAATCGTGCTCTAGAGTCTTATAGGAGAAACTAGCGCTAAGCTTAAGATGAATGAATTTTCGAAAAGCAAGGGGCTGATGGCGTTTGTCTTTGGGTTGCTCGATGGACGAGGTGATGAAGTTGGCAGTCCAGTCGAGGCTGGAGCGCCGTAGCAGGTCCGCCTCCACCACTTGCCAACAACACCATCAGCCGTCTAAAAAGAAAAGCCTTATGAAACGCAGGACGCGGTGGTCTCCGGAAGGCCAATTTTGCGCTCGGTATCGGCGGGCCCCACACGGCTGCATCGATATGGGGCTGACAGGTGAGGCTTGATCCACTTGGACCCTTCGGGGTTGCGCGAGAACTCACGTCCCAACATAAGCAAGATAACGACATCGAAACGATATGGTGTTCGGAGAACTGGCTTGTGAAAGTGTACTGTGGTCGTAGAGTCGAGTCAGGCTGCCAATATGGCCCCCACCTATAAACCCCGGCCAGAAGGCTCGATCAACATTGGTGGGTTGGACGAGTCAAGATAGGTGGGGCAAAGGATTGCCTGCGCCACATCTGCTATTGACAGACAGAATCATGCAGACTTTTGCTTTCGCCAGTCTGCGCCAAACACGGCTTCGGTTGTCAGGTGTGCATGCGTCGAATTCATTATATGAGATGACTTGCAAGCGTATGACTTTGTAAAAAGAAGTCCCGCGTCTTTTGTCATCTGGATAAAAGGATGGGGTGGTGTTTCTTTAAGGTCTAGTCGGCCGCGCAAGCACGCTCTTGGTCCCCTGCTGCATATCCCAGCGAGGGCTCCGCAATATCCCCTAGCGGGCATTCTGGACCCCGATTAGCTACTGCTACCTTGGGAAATAGCCCGATAGGGCATGCATTGTGAGGAAGGACTGCGTATAAAAAGAATTTCACCTAGTAGGAAGCGTGTCTTTCTCTTCACTCGTCGCATTCAAGTCTTTTCACAGATTCAAACATGTCTTCTACAACTTACGACTATGTCATTGTCGGTGGAGGGACTGCAGGTCTCGTCCTCGCCGCGCGGCTGAGTGAGGATCCCTCCAAGCTTGTCGCCGTGATTGAAGCAGGAGCGAACCGCAAGGGTGATCCGAGGATCGATATTCCTGGATTGGTCATGTCCCTCTACGAGGACAAGGACTACGATTGGTCCTTTCTCACGGAGCCTCAGGTACGGGTGACTCGGAGAAGGGGAAGACAGCAGCACCACTGATATCTGGCAGGAGGCATTGAATGGGAGGCAGATTGCGTGTCCTCGCGGCCGTGTCCTCGGTGGATCGTCCGCCCTGAACTTGTCCGCTATTCTCTACCCGAGCAAGGCCGACTTTGACGACTGGGCGGCACTGAACAACGACCAAGGCTGGAACGCCGAGGCCATGGCGCCGTACTTCCGCAAGTTCCACACCTTCCGGCCCGCGTCCGAGGCCACCAAGAAGCGGATGCTGGTCGACTACATGGACGAATCCCGCTATGGCACCGACGGTCCTTTGAACGTGACGATCCCCGAAGGATACAGCCCGCTCGATGAGGCGTGGGTCAATGCTTTCAACGAGCTCGGCTTCCATGCCAAGACAGACCAGGCCAACGGCAAGATGATCGGCTGCTTCACCAGCCCCGTCTCCATCCACCCAGACACAAAGACCCGGGAGTACTCTGCTTCTTCGTACTACACAGAGGAAGTGCAGAGCCGCCCGAACCTCCACGTGCTGACGGAAGCGGTGGTGGAGAAGATCGAGTGGGCGGATGGCGCCGGCCCTGATCTCAGCGCCAGTGGCGTGCATGTGCTGCAGGGCGAAGAAAAGCGCAGATTCGTCGGGGTCCGATCAGGCGGCGAGGTCATCCTCTCTGCAGGCACCATCAAGAGCCCCCAAATCCTCGAGCTGTCGGGCGTCGGCAACGAGCAGCTGTTGGAGAAGCACAAGATCGAAGTGAAGATTTCCCTCCCGGGCGTCGGCGAGAACCTCCAAGACCACGTCGTGGCGACGAGCAGCTACGAAATCGCCGACAACCAGATGTCGGGCGACAACCTCCAGCACACGCCCGGCCTCATGGACGCCGTGATGCAGATGTACGCCGAGTCCCGCACCGGCCCCATGACGGGCATCATGCTCGGAGCCGCACACCTCCCGCCCGTCGACAAAGACGGCGTCCTCAGCAAAGAGGCGCTGGCTTCCCTCGTCTCCGACGCCGCCATCAACGCCTACCCCGACTTCCCGGGCAAGCAGGCTCAGTTCTCGCTCCTCCGCGCGCGCCTCGAAGCCGGCGAGCCGTCGTGCCAGTTCCTCTTCATCCCCAAGCAGATCAACCACGAGAGGCAGGAGAACACGATGCAGTACCTCTTCGGCGGGGCCGAGGCGGAGAACTACGTGTCGGCAGTCGCGCTGCTCAACCACCCCTTCTCGCGCGGCACGGTGCACATCACGTCGGCGGACCCGACGGCGGCGCCCGCCATCGACCCGCGCTACCTCACGCACCCGCTCGACCTCGAGCTGCAGGCCCGCCACCTGCAGTACTTCGAGAAGCTCGTCTCGACCAGCGCGTTCAAGGCGGTGCTGAAGGAGGGCGGCAAGCGTCTGCCCCCGGCCGACTCGGCCGACTTGGACACGGCGAGGCAGATTGCGAGGGACCGCGCCTTTACGTGCTTCCATCCGGCGGGCACATGCGCCATGATGCCGCGCGCGCAGGGTGGTGTGGTCGACAGCCGGCTGCGGGTGCACGGCACGCGCAATGTCAGGGTGGTGGATGCGAGCATCTTCCCGCTCGAGCCGCTGGGGAACATCCAGGCCAGCGTGTATGCGGTGGCGGAGAAGGCGGCCGATCTGATCAAGCGGAATGGGTAACTGGGGGGAAATGCCGCGTGCTGCCCGGGAGACGGACTACGTAGTACATGGTGTTGCCGAACAACACACATGTGGGACAGCCTAGGCTACAGTGCGACCAGAAACAGACAAGAGCCTACATAACACCATCCCAATCTACTCCTTCTCCCTCGCTACACACTCGACGATGAGCGATCCAGGGGAATGCTACTATGCCATTTGCGGCTCCGGGTTCCGGCGCGCCCGCTTCGCTCATGATGACAACGACGGCTACAACCCGGCCAGTCTCAGCGAGTCCGATGTCGAGTGGATGGAGAATTTCGATGTCGTTGGCTTTAACCCGGATGCGAACGGCATCTCCAAGGTCGAGCTTCACAACGTCATGCAGGACCCGCAGCTGATGACGGAGGACGTCGACTACCGCAAGCTGTTCCTGTGGCTGGACCACGCGACCACACCGAAGCACTGGATGGATGGGCCCTTCCTCGCGGTCGCGAACCGCCGCCGAATCTGGGGTGTCTGCGAGCAGCTGGCCGACACCTACCATGCTCGGCTGGCGAGAAAGGTCCTCGCCGACGAGCCCGAGGGCATGGCGGAGCTGATCTTGGAGCACGCCGACAATCCGCAGATACCTCTGGTCGTGTGGCCGCCGCCGTCCAAGGACGTGGAGTTTGTCTCGGTGCAGTGGGTGCGGTCGCTCGACGAGCTCACCGAAGGCTCCGCCGCCGAGTTGCACGCCTTCTTCGGTCCAGACGGCTCCATGGTCGGATTGGCCATGGAACTTGGCGGGGGGCCCATGAGGGTATTCGGCCAGGACGACGGCGTCGAGGGGGTGCGGAGGGAGATGGTGGAGATCGAAGACCCGGCTGACATCTTGGGGCTGATCCTGCATATCCCCCATGCCGTCGTTGGGCTGGAAGACGCGGAAACTTCCATCAAGGGAGTCACGGTCAGTCGCTGCTTCCTTCTTCCATTTTCCCAAACCAATGTCTACTCACACAGTACTCAGGTCCAACACAGACTGCAAGACTGGCACCTCGGCTCCACCCGCGACCCTTCCTTCAACCTCCGCCCCCTGCTCCTCGACCAAGGCAAAACAATCGTCGGCCTGGTGGGCCAAACAACAGTCAGACCCCTTTCCCATCCCACCATCCCATCCGCTAACCCCAGCCCTCCCCCCAGAGCACTCGCATCATCCGTCTGGGCCTCCTCCAATGCACCCGCCCCCCTAGCGACGACTTCGCCCTCCTCAACACCACCACCGATGCCTCGCACAACAACAACCCCACCCCCATCCAGCACCGCCTCCTCTGGCGCACCACCAACACCAACCCCCCGGGCCCCATCTGGACCATCCCCCACCTCCGCCTCATCCGCCTCCACGACGCCGGTGCCGTCGCTTTTCTCCCGGAAAACGACATGCTCGCGTGCGAACCCCTCCTGTGGGCCCGAACCGCCGACGACATCAAGTCCGTCACCCGCCTCTCCGTAACCCTCGCCATCGCCGGCACCGTCGACGACCGCCCGCTCTGCCAGTATTGCAACAGGGAGCATGGCTACTACATGCTGTGCGGCGCGGCGGCGCGGCGGCGCGGCGGCGCGACGGCGTCGAGTGTGTGGTCGGCGTTTCTTCTCCCCGCTGAGACCAGGAGGGCGACGCCAAAGGTACGGTGGTGGATTTCGATGTCGATGGCGCCGGGGGCGAGGTCGTGGACAGCGTCGAGATGGCGTGGGGCGGGTATGCGAGGGCAGTCAAGGTGAGTTTTGTGCAATTGTTTCGGCTTTTGTTCTTGGTGTAAGCGAGTGGCTGACGAGTTCGGGTGTAGCTGCACACTAATAGAGACCGCGAAGTCGTTTGGGGGGACGGAAATGCGTGTGACTGGGTGACGCTGACAGCGCCGCCGGGGCAGACGATTGTTGGGTTGGTGTTTGTGTTTGGGAATATTGGCGGTGGTGATGTGACGGGTATTGAGGTGAGTTTGACCATTTTTTCTCCCCCTCAGATCCGTGGTCAGACTGGTATACAATGTGTACGGGATCGACAAGGCGGCTGACCGGCTGTAGAAATATGCTGCCATGACCTATGCTGGAATCTTGGCGTTGCCGTTGGAATAGTTGTGGTGGCTACCTTGCTTTCAGCATACTGGCGACGGATCATGCTTTGGGTACCTGGTGCATGTTAAACTTCCTGGGATCGTAAGCGAATACTGGGCTGGGGGCTTGACGTGAGCAATGACTTCTGAGATCAAACGTCCCAGTATCGAATAGTCCTGTTGAAGCTAGTGTGACGATTCGTATGATTTACGTTTACTTCACTCACTTCGGCGAAAGTCGTTTTCTCACCGTCTGCTTTATTATAAAAGCAGGCCTTCCCCTTTACCTTCTTTCCCTCCTTATCGAAGACTTCTTGTCAACAGAATGCAGCCAATTGTCAAAACACTATCGATTCGCAACACCCGTTGAGTCGTCATGGAGTTGAGGATAGAGAACCGTGAGCCATCCATTCCATGCTCTCACTGACGAAGTTTCGTTGGACAGGGCGGTCATATACTGCTCCGACAATGGTAACATGACCAGGCCGTTCTAAAAACCATCTGCGGAGCTCCTGAAGGTGTTGATGAATACTCCGTCGGGGTCAAATACTCGGAGAAACTACTTGCGTGTCTCCGAATATACTCCTTCTTCTCCCCTGCCGATCACCTCCACTGTTGATGACGTGACACGGTGGATGGCACGTATTTAGTGCGTTAAGAGATCCGAGTTCGGCCAAGGCGAGCCTTCCTTCATAACGGAAGATGCTCCTCGGCGGCCTGAAAGTGATGCTGGCATTGGAAATGGACATGTCTTTTCACGAGAGCTTAAGCAAATAACAGCTCACTAACAGCGGCTCCAGGTGCATGGCGTCCGGATCCCATGTGCGGCTCCGATGGCTAGCTTCCTCAAACTGCCGGCAGGCATCCTGGCCGCCAGATGCTTGGTCTTGCCCCACTTGGTAAGACTGGTAGATTAAACTAGATGTTGATGGGCACGCCAAGCCGTACCAACACCTGGTCAAGCCGACAGCTTGGTCATCGTGGTGCCAGCGACACCGGGAGGAAGGTTGCTGCCTGACAGCCCTTTTCTACCCCCGTCCCACAGCCTACGAATATAAAGGCGCAACAGGATGACCGTATCAACACCCGAGGAGCTGGTAACACCAAGGGCAAGCTACTGCAAGAACGGAAAAGATGCACCTTGCAGCGTTGCCAAGCGCTGTTGCACTTCTGGTTTCGGCCTCGCAGGCTCTGGTGATTCCGGATGATCAGCACATCCCGCCGTCTCTGGATCTGGGGACCCTTGCCAACAACTCCCTCTTTACTCGATGGCGGCCGACATACCATGTCGCCGCTCCCGCCGGTCACATGAATGGCGAGTCATCCTTCTTCCAAAACACATCACTGACCGATCACGCTGACGCCAGTTCCAGATCCCTGCGGCCCCATGTACGATCCGCTCCGGGACACGTACCACATCTTCTACCAAGCCTTCCCGCAGCACGTCAACTTTGGCAACACGACCTGGGGCCACGCCACCTCGCGTGACCTCATCATCTGGCAGGACGTCGGCGGGTGGCAGAACCGCTCCTTCGTCGCCATCGAGCCCGGTCCGTCTTTCAGCTACGACTGGCTCGGCGCCTTCTCAGGCGGCGCATACCCAGGCAGTCTGTTCGGCGAGGCAGACGGCAACCTGACCGTCTTCTACACCGGCTCGCTCTCGAGCCCGGACTTCTGGCGTAAGCCGTACAAGCCCAACTCGGAGACGCAGAACGCGGCGACGTCCAGCGACGGGGGGCGGACGTGGCAGAAGTGGCAAGGCAACCCTATCCTGAACGGCGCGCCCGGCGGCTGGAACGTCACAGGCATGCGCGACCCCATCCCCGCACGCATCCCGGAGCTCGCCCGCGTTCTGGGCGACGACGAGGACACGTTCTACATCACCATCGGCTCCGGCATCCGCGGCGTCGGTCCCCGTGCCCCGCTGTGGAAGGCCCCCAAGCACGACCTCACTGATTGGTCGTTCCAGGGCTCGCTGTTCGAGGTCCCCGTCAACTACACGTGGGGCCCGGACGGCAACCGCACGGGGAGCTTTGGCGGCAACTTCGAGATGGCGACCTTCTACCCGCTCGTCGAGAAGGCCGAGTTTGGCGGAGACGGCGAGACGCTGCATTGGGTCTACACGTTTGGCGCCGAGGGCTTCGAGAGTTTTGGCCATGACCTTACGCACTGGTCGCTGTTTGCGCTGGGCGACGTCACGAGAAGGGATAATGGGTCGGCAGCGTTCAGCATCAGGGCGGCGGGGCCGGGCGATTGGGGGAACGGGTACGCGGTCAACACGTTTTGGGACAGCAAGAACGAGAGGAGGGTGGCGTGGGGCTGGTCGGACGAGGACTTCAATGGCTATGGCGTCAGCCAGAACGGCTACCAGGGCTCGCTGCTGCTGCCCCGCGAGCTATACGTCCGTAAGGTGAAGGGCGTCGTCGCGCCGGCTGCCGGCGCCCCCAACCAGAGCGCCGAGATCTGGGAGCGCGAGCACGGCAGGCCGACGTACACGGTCACCACCCTGGCCCAGCGGCCCCTACCCGACGTCGTCGCCGGCATCCAGCAGCAGCACGCCGGAACTCGCGTCGGAGACATCCAGGTCACCGGCGAGCACCGCATCCCCGCCCTCAACAGCTCGACCTACCACCTCCGCGCCACCCTCGACCTCGCCGCATCGCCATCGCCCCTTGACGCGGACCCTACCGCCGCGCAGTTCGGCTTCAAACTCCGCGCCGCTCCTGCCGACGAAGAGTTCACCTCCCTGCTCTACACCCCCGCCAACAACACCCTCGTCCTCAACCGCGCCCGCTCTTCCCTCATCACGAACTTCACCCACTCCAGCTTCAACGCCTACCTCGAGCCCTTCCTGTTCCCCGCGTTCGACAACGAGACGGCCGACCCAGTCCCCGAGCCCCTCACCTTCGACATCTTCGTCGACGCCTCCCTCCTCGAGGTCTTCGTCAACGACCGCGTCGCCCTGTCCACCAGGGTCTATCCCTCGCGCGCGGATGCCCTGCAGGCCGCGCTCGTGGCGACCGAAGGCAGTGCGGCGTTTAGGGATGTGACTTACTGGGACACCATGACGCATGTGTGGCCGCGCCGTCCCACGAATTCGAGCGGTGAGCTACACACCGACCCGTGGTATGAAACGCATGTCACCATGGAGAACGAGTGGGTGGAGGTTGGGACGCAGGTTTATGACGGGTACTGATTGGGGAGAACTGGGGTGGGAAGAGAGGAGTTGTAATGGTTTAAATGGAGATGGAATTGTTTTTGAGGGGTTGGGCTGATGGAAAATCGGACGGGTCGGGAGTTTTGGCGGCCCGATGAGTTGAGTTTGCATTGTTGTTTACGGATCAACTTGACTGTTGTTCGTGGGAGGTACCGGCTTATATCTACCAGTCGCCGACTCACGGAATACCAAGGCATTGTAGTCTTTGGGCAAAAACTAACCGGGGTGGTCGCGGCAGGGCGTGTGCCCAGGAACATGATGATCGAAATGATAAAACGGTCAATCAGATCTATCTTAACTTTCCGGTTCCACAATGTCGTATAACGTAGAAATGTAAGTTTGGACGATCTAGAGTGGATAGTTGCAGATTGAGCCTGTTCATTCTATATCAAATATCAAGCCGAATTCCTCATTGCATTCGGCCTTCTTCACTCACAATTGCCGCTGCCGACGCCACTGATAGTAATGGAGGATGTTTTCGAAATCGGAAAATTCCTCTTTCTCACGAGAGTTTGTGCGTACGAGTCGAAGGGACGGACTATACGTTCAAAAGTACGCTTGACTTACGTACGGACATCTTTTTAGAGATTGCAATCTGGACACCAGAGCGTGAGTATTTGTGTCGATTTCACGATGTGCTTGAGTGCGTCGATTTCCATTGCAGATGCAAGGCCCGCAATGCTTCGGTAGGTGTAGATGCCACTACTCGCGACATACTGCGGTGTACTCGAGCCGACTCGAATATAGTTGATGGATCGGAGAGATAATACTTTCTTCAGCAGACGTGGAAACCGTAGCCGTAGTCTGTCTGCTACAAGGCGGCCACCCGGCGAACCCTACCAAACACGAAGATCGTCCCGAGGCCCAAGCTTGGGCTTCTGGACCTTACACAGGCGTTTACATCTGAAACAAGAGGGTTGACCATAGCGTGCGCGATAAAGTGCAGTGTCGGTGTGGGATGCAGAGTTGTTGAATTCGTACTCTTAGCACCCTGTGGAACCGGCAACCTTGCGCAAAGGCACGATTCATGCGTGATCTTTACCCCTTTCAAGCCTGCCCGCCTCAACCAGCATACGCGATTTATAAAAAAGGCACCTGACACCTCCGTACTTTTGCAGGAATCAAGCTGTAAAGCCGGCCCCAATCCACTCATTCACTCAACATGCTTTTCCGAAACACCATCCTCGCCGGCGTCGTGTCGCTCGCCTCCCTTGCTTCGGCCGGCATCGTCAGCTTCACCGTCCCCAAGACCGTCGTCCCCGGCGCCAAGTTCACCGCCACCCTCGTCGAGAACAACGCCACCAAGAGCAAGGACATCTCCGTCGCGTTCGGCATCGCTTCCGGCGACTTCGTCGAGCCCTGGGGCCTCGGCACCGACCTGTTAGGCAAGTCCATCCTGACCAACACCGGTACGTTGTTCCCACAATCTGCCCCGGGTTTTTTCTGTTGCTGACGCCCGACGGATGCAAAGATGTCACCCCGTCTCCAGAGTCCGTCGACGTCGAGCTCACCGTCCCATCGTACTATGAGGACGGCGAGGCGACCGTCGTGGCTATCGTCAGCGCCCTGTCTGGCGCTAGGCTCTACCCCATCTCTACGCTGTACAATGCTACCGTCATCGTTGGCAAGGAACCCAGCACCGAGACTGTCAAGAGCGGCGACGGCCTCGTCATTCAGCACCAATATTAATGGGTCATGTTTGGAGGATTAAATATACACGTTTCCATGTTTGACGTTGTTGTGTAGTTTTGCTGTAGTGAAACCGCGATGTGCGGGATGCTGACAGCTGGTTTTCGATTACTATCACGAACGGAGAAACGCAGCCAGCACTTGACACGATTACGATATGTTCCACGGCCGTTCTACGTCGGTGGCATATTGCGGCGCTCCGGCCCCAGAGCGCCACCAAGATTAACGAAGAAAGCCACAAAACGTGCGTCCAGATCCAGCTGGTTGAAGGTTGCGGGTAGCTATTTGTGTAAATTTGCCACAGGATCTATTCTTAGCCACAAAACTTGCGGGGTTCAGCGACAAGGTGCCACGTGCTTGGTGCCGTCGGGCATCATGACGCATGCCAAGTAAGTAGTTCGGAAGACACGGGCAGCCAGCAAATACCTACGAATAATAATAGGAGGGAGCTAAACAACAAGGTGAGGGCCAAAACCTTTTTCCCTAACCCATTCCGTTGGACCAGATACTTGGGTGCGCATAGGCGCAGCAGTGAATGCCAACACAGCTTGTGTCTCTTTCCTAATGATGTTCACGAGTCCTCCGCGATGATGCCGGAGCGACTTACCGCATCATCACACCTCGTATCGGATACGGGATGGGGGTCTGTGCAAAAGTCACCAACGCCAACTGGCGAAGACCCCTTTCCTCCAACATAACTCTAGAAGTTCGAAGCTCCCGGTTGGCCTTGAAGGTTCAGCCGCACAGAATTCCTCTCTCCCTTTAAGCTACGCCCGAGCCCACCATGGTCCGTATCATCGACACGTCAATTGCGCTTGCGGCCTTCGCGTCGTGTGCAGCCGCCTCTGTCACTGGTCAACCGCAGTCAGGGTATGTGGATAATTTACATGTGTGAATGACCTTCTCTCATCAACTATCCAGACCATGCGGAACACTGGCCAACGTCGTCAAGAGGAATGCTCCCCGTGATGCCGGCGATATCAAAGTGCGTCAGGCAGCCAGCAACGGAACGAACTCAACTGCCACATTGGATGTAGGCTACTGCCCGAAACGCGTGAAGAGGTCCATAGCCGCTGACACCAGAAGCTCTACTACCATGTCATGCTTGCCGAGGGCAATCACACGACGGATTTCATCACAGATGAGCTCTTGAAACATCAAACGACGGTGCTGAACGAAGGCTTCGTGCCAATGGGCTACCAGTTCCGACTGGCAGAGACAACGTGGTCGAACAACGCCAGCTGGTCAGCAGAAGGTTCTTACTTTCGCCGGATGGCCGCTTACGCAAATGCAGGTTCTACAACGCAACGCAGCAGTCTCGGCAGGAAACCGACATGAAGACGGCGCTCCGCAAAGGCGACAAGGCGGCACTGAACGTGTACATCGTCGGGTAAGCCTGGATCTCGCCCCACGGCGCACACGTGCATTAACACACGCAAAGTCTCTGGGACGCCAGCATCTCCGCATGGTCCACCGTCCCACTCGAACTCGACTTCAACATCCCCGCCGATGGAGTCGTCCTCCACAACTCGGTCCTCCCCGGCGGCAGCAACACCGTCTGGACCCTCGGCAAGACCCTCATCCACGAAGTTGGCCATGTAAGTCACACGCGCTGTGCAGCAAGCCGAGAACGGCTTTTTTGCTGACATGTCGCAGTGGGTCGGCTTGTACCACACCTTCGATGGTAACTGCGTGTACAATGACGACTACGTCGATGACACTCCGCTCGAGGCCACCCCGGCGCAGTCGTGGGATGCGCTTGGTGGGTGTCCCGTGGGACGCGATTCCTGTCCTGATGCTCCGGGATTGGATCCCATCCGTGAGTCGCCAAGTACTTCTGTTTGTTGTGGGCTGAAGCTGACTGCGGGTAGATAACTACATGGACTATACGAGTGATGAATGCAGGTACGAGTTTACGCCTGGGCAGATTGCGTACGCGCACAACGAGATGAAGACGCATAGAGGCGTGGTTGTGTAATTTAATCCACAGAATTGCATTATTCATCCGTCCGCACACGGTTCAGACATGATTACTTTGCTGTTTCAGATCGGGGTTATTTCCTTGTATTACATTTGCTCTGAGCTCTACGTACGGTAGCACTTTTTACTGGCTTCCTCTTCTGTGTAATAATCAAATTGCCGATCGAACTGCAAGAAGCTGGACCGAATCTGTCCTTGTCTAGACGTTTCCGCAAGCAAAACAATCCGGCCGTAGACACTAAGACAGCATCTCTCTACATGCTCGCATCTTCTTCCTTTTTTTCGAAATCGAAAGGGTTGCAGAGGGGTGTTGTTTATTTTCTTGCTCGAATAATGCCCATAGGTACTTATTGATGATTACTGAACAGCTTTGAATCCTGCAACCCCGCATTATTATCATTCGCCCCTCACCCCAACGACCACTACTGGGCATAGATTAGTGATCCCTATCTACTTACTACAGTACTAGCCGCCATCACCATGCGTTTGCAAGGATGCGATTGCGGCTCTCCGCAGGCCACCGACCCGCCATTTCGGACCCCAAGCGCCCTGATATATAAGACGCAAGATGCTGACAAGCTTGATTATTTCCACGCCGCTGAGTCACAAAGACTAGGATTATATATTCATATAGACGGCTGTACAGACTAAGCCAGTCTAGTTAGTATAAAGTGTGCCTCCGCAACAGCAATAGAATCCGCATCCAGCCCACCACCTCTGAACCGGCAAACACGCTCGACACGCATCCAGGCATCCATAAAATAGCATCCACCACCCACTACGGGCGATCCTTACACGATATATCGTGTAAAATACACGATATTTCGTAGTTTACGTCGTTTTACACAATATATCGCGTATTTTACACGAAAATGTGTGAATAGGGTTAGGTATTTTTAGCGAGAATGTTAATATCGCGTAAAATACACGATATATCGTATACACGATATATCGTGTAAAATATACGATATTTTAGCACTATATTATCACGTTTATTACTTTATTAGAGAAACTCGTGAAATTAGGTATTAAAGCAGCAAAACCCTAGCCCTTTTCCCAAACACCTATAAATATAAGCTAAACTACCTAATACCTCCGTAGAATCTTATCTATAAGCTCTTAAAGCCTAATATTACTCGCCGTTAACGCCTCGATTAAAGCCGTCTAACCATTAATAAGCGCCTTTTACTTATCCACCTTCTAAACTAGAGTATCGAACTCAGCTCTAGAAACCGCCGACCCCTACTCTCTACTATCTCCTTAACTAGGCACCTTGCAGATGCTTTTTTTAACGCGATAATAGGCGCAAGCGCCTAAAGTTAAGGGATTTTAACCGGGAGCGAAGGTCTTATACTTCTACTCTTTAGTCTAGTACGCTATGCAAGGCGGATCTTACTTAATACCCTACTTAGTCTCTATAATAAGGCCAGCGTACGCGTACGCCCTTATATAGTCCTTATTAACCTTCTTGTCCGACCTTAACCGCTTATCCCACTCATCCTACGAATAATACCAAAAATTCCGCTTATTGCGAGTTGTTGGACGACGAAGATCTAAGGTAGGCGTAGGCTAAGGCTGCGGCTATAGAATAGTACGACGGCGAAGCGCGGGCGACGGCGAGCGTAAAGGTATATTAAATATATCGCCGGAGGAAGCCATACTATTTTATTATTAGTAAGGTAAGGTGAGGTGAGGTAAGGTTAGACTTATAAAGAGGTAGTTAAAGTAGCGCCGCGGCGAGTTACGCTACTAACGTTTATATTACTAAAAGCCGTATTCGGCCTACTAGATAGCGTAGGCGGACGTTATAGAAGACGCTAAGCTCTTAGAGTACGTAGAGTACGTTAAACGCGCGGCGTGTAAAGTAAAAGAGGAGTAAGTAAAGAAAGTTTATCGAAAGCTTCTTTAAGCTCTTGCCAGGTATTAGTCTCGTTATTAAATATTACGGCGGCGGGTAGGGGGTAGTAGGGGTGAGGGTATAGGCTTACGGCGGCAGAGGGGGCGGCGGCAAGCTAAAGAAGAAGAAGAAGAAGAAGAGAAGAAGGATAAGAGAAGAAGAGCTTTTAAAGGGCAAGATTTAGTATTATAGAGTCCGGCACGTGCAGGTCTATAGAGGCAGAAGCAACCCGCGATACTACCTAAGAGGATAGGAGCAACCCCCGATAGGGTAGAAGCGACCCCCGATAGAGTAGAAGCGGCCGGCGCATAAGTACACGAGAATAGGTATATACTACCAGCTACTAGCGCGATTACGTAAGGTGGCAGGAGCACGTAGTTCGTATTATATAGTTTTACTTACCTGCTACGCGTAGGTGTAAGGATAGATAAGGTATAAGAATAGGTAAGGTATAAGAGTAGATAAGTTTATATCGTAGTTATAGAGGATTAGTATAGCTATAAGCGCCGCGGAACTTCGAGGGGTAGTAAAATCAATCTATAGCTCCGCGGAGCTCCGGGGCACTAGATATAGCCGTACTAATTAGTAGACCGCCCCCTTCCTCTAACGGGGTGCACCTCCGCTATACGAGGGCTCCTTAGGCGCCACCCCGCCCCGCCCGGCGTCTATAGCTTAGACACTAGATGCGGGGTAACCCCTAATACCACTATATACTTATCTTCCATCGGCGAGGACGGACGTAATTATATAACGAAGAGGAAGAAGAAGGAAAGAAAGAGGAGTAAGAATTATATAGCTCCTTAGGCGCTACCCCGCCCCGCCCGGCGTCTACAGCTTAGATACTAGATACGGGGTGTACTATAGCATACTTATCTTCCATCGGCGAGGACGGACCTAATTATATAACGAAGAGAAAGAAGGAAAAGAAGAAAAGTAAGGATTATATACCTCCTTAAAAGCTCTATTTAATAGGACACGTAAGGACCTCCTCGGGCGCCACCCCGCCCAGCGTCTATAGCTTAGACACTAGGTGCGGGGTGCACTATAGCATACTTATCTTCTATCGGCGAGAACGGACGTGATTATATAACGAAGAGGAAGAAGAGAAGATAGACGAGAGGTATAGCTTATATACCCTCTAATATAGGTGTAAGCGGTATCGAACTAGATAAAGATATATAGATAGCTTAAGAACTTATCGTTATATTTCATCTTACGGAGTTCCGCGGAGCGATAGACGCGTCGCAATATCGAAGATTTATATATAGTAGATTCTTAGGGCTATAGAGCTTTACGGAGGGGTAGACGCGGTCGTAATATATCGAAGATTATACCTAGTGCATCGTTTTTAGGCCTACGGAGTTCCGCGGAGCGCCGCGGAGCGGCTTAGAGCGATAGGCGCGGTCGTAATATCGAAGGTTACACCTAGTAGGTTCTTAAGGCTATAGAGCTTTACGGAGGGGTAGGCGCGTCGTAAGGTCGAAGATTACACCTAGTATACCGTTTCTAGGCCTGCGGAGTTCCGCGGAGCGGCTTAGAGCGATAGACGCGGTTATAAGATCGAAGATTATACCTAGTATACCGTTTTTAGGGCTACGGAACTCCGCGAAGCGATAGGCGTAGTCGCAATATTAAAGAGTTAGTAGATTGGGTTTTATATTACGAAGTAGTTTCGCGGAGCGCTATATAAATAATAATAAATAATATAAAGGCTCCGCGGAACTCCGCAGCCCTAAAATTAATCTAACTCTTTAATAACGATTACGCCCATCGCTCTACGGCCGCGCCCATCGCTCTACGGCCGCATCTATCGCTCTACGTCGCTCCGCGGAACTCCGCAGCCCTAGAAACAATCTAACTCTTTAATAACGATCGCGCCTATCGCTCTACGGCCGCGCCTATCGCTCTACGGCCGCGCCTATCGCTCTACGGCCGCGCCTATCGCTCTACGTCGCTTCGCGGAACTCCGCAGCCCTAAAATCCGTTTAACTCTTCGATATTACGACCGCGCCTACTCCTCCGCGAAGCTCTATAGCCCTAAAAATATAAATACTAATACTACCTCTAATAAGGATATCGGCTTTAACGATAATATGGCGCGCGATGGTAGTACTACCCCTAGCCGAAGGTATTCTTCCTATATTTACTCTAAGCCTATATAGTAAGCTTACTTTTATAGCTATACGTAGGCTACTACTACCCTACTAAGCGCTATAACGACTAAACCGGCTTAAGCTCCGGAGCAGGCACCGTAAGTAAGCCAAACGCCCTAAGCCAACTAGATGCCGGAAACCAGCTACGCGACTAAAGGCCGGATATATATCTTCGATATTACGACGCGCCTATCGCTCCGCGGAACTCCGCAGCCCTAGAAACGGTATACTAGGTATATATAATCTTCGATATTACGACGCGCCTATCGCTCCGCGGAACTCCGCAGCCCTAGAAACGGTATACTAGATATAATCTTCGATATTACGATCGCGCCCACCCCTCTACGAAGCTCTAGCCCTAAGAATATACTATATATAAATCTTCGAATTACGACGCGCCTATCGCTCCGCGGAACTCCGCAGCCCTAGAAACTACTTAACTCTTTATACGATTACGCCTGGCGCTCTATAAAGCTCTATAACCCTAAAATCTATTTAGCTAACTCCTAACTATAATAACCTAGCTACGTATATCGCTCGCCCTTATATAATAACGCCTCGTCTACTCGCTACTATTATCATCTTCGCTACTATTATTATCTTCGCTATTACGTTAAAATATACTCTCGTCGCTATCGTTCTTCTCTTCCTCCGTACGCCGCTTATTATACCGCTCCCTAGATTCCGCCTACTATTCTTTACTTACCCGACTGGCCTTACGCTTACGCTTTCGATCGTACTTCCTTCCCTCGGTCTCCTCTATAATCTAGGTGTTTTCTCGAATCTTACGCGCTAGGGTACGCGCGCGCGACGTTATAGCGGGCTCTACGGGGGTATTTAGCTACTTCTACGTTATAGTATCCTCCTTCGCGGCATCCTTCGTAGCACCCTTCTTCGTAGCACCCTTCTTCGTAGCATCCTTCTTCGTAGTATCCTTCTTCGTAGTACTCTTCTTCGTAGCACCCTTCTTCGCGGCACCCTTCTTCGCGGTATCCTTCTTCGCGGCACCCTTCTTCGTAGTAGACTTCCTCGCGGGAGCTACCTCCGTAATAGCCTCCGCGGTAGCCTCCGCGGTAGCCTCCGCGGTAGCCTCCGCGGCATCTATTTATAGTATTATAGATAACTCTACGCGCTCCGTAGATGCTTCCGCTTATTCGGAAAGAGCTAGAGTAGATACGTAATCTTCGGTAGTCTCTTATACTACTTATCGTATATAGATATCCTCGTCGCTATCGTTATAGTCGGCGTCTAACGTGTTAGTCTAACGTGCTTACTAGCCTACCCTTCTACGGCGCGAAGAGTTAGAGCTTATAGAGGTATAAGCGGAATCTAGTACGGCGTCGGCCGCCTACCTATACTTAAAGCGCTTTAAGTCCGGAAAGCGTGTATCCGCTAGAAGAAGGTTAACTATCTTAATTCGAATCTTAGTAGATTGTCTAGACTATAATAATAGCGTATCGCGATCTAGCCTTTATAGAGCGTGTTACTTATATAAAAACCGTGCCGAGCCAATTAACTCTAGCCATTTTTCCTTTAGATTTTTAAGTCTAAACTCCTTAATCCGTTAACGAAGATGCTTATTATCTAGTAGTATCTTTTTCGCTTCTATCTTCCCTCCCGGAGGGACCGGCTTAAAGTTAGGTCGGCGAAACTAGACAAGAGATATAGCGGCGATATCGAGATAACGAGGCGATAAGGTTATAGTAGCATTATAATATATTACCGTAGTTATATATAAGCCCCTTATAGGGGAGCCGTGTTAACGATAGCTAGAATATAGTTACTTTTTCCTCGCCAATCTATCACACCACCTGCCTAAGTATAAACACCCGGATATAACCTATTATATACCTAGAATATCCGTTAACTCCCCTATATAAAGTTTTTATATACGTAGAGAGGTTTACCGCTCTATCTTATCGCTAGGCTTAATATAGGTACCTTATTTCGTCGCCTCGCAGTTCCGCGGAGCTCTAGACTACTAAAACTACTACTAATACCTACCGCCTAGACTCTAATCTTCGTCGCCTCGTAACTCCGCGGAGCTCTAGACTACTAGAACTACTACTAAACACCTACTACCGTCTAGACTCTAATCTTCGTCGCCTTATAGCTCCGCGGAACTCCGGACCGCTAATACTACCTATTATTATTATAAGCAACGCTTCTAGCCAGCCGTCTAGAAGAACTATCTAGCGCCGTAAGGAGCGCTATCGCTACTAATACTTCGCACGCGCCAATACGCCCCCTATTAACGAGAGTTTTACTACTAGAGGAAGCGTCGTTCGTAAAACTCTACCGCTGCTAGCTGCACTCGACGATGTCGACTTTAACGATAACATAGTTATTAAAGAACCCGACCGGGTGTCTAATTATAAAGACGATAATATCGATAGGACGTTAGATACTATTAAGATCGCTAGTAATATATCGAGTAGCGACGAGGAGCTTAATATAGAAGATACTATAGCGGTATAAATCTAGAACCTCGCGGACGCACAATAAAGTAAATATAATAAGACGTGTTTAGAGATACCTATTTATAATACTAATAAAACGGTACTAGATCCCCGGCTTATAATTATAGTAGATATAGCTAGCTGGGCCACTGGCGTTAGCCGCGTAAAATATAACGATCTACGCGACCTTCTTTTCTTCTACTACGGAGTAAGGCTTCCGAGCGTTCGCTACGCATCCAGCTAGCTGCGTAAGTATACTAATATAGAGGAGCGGTTAATCGACTACTATATTAACTCCTATATAGCGTACACTAGTGCCTATAAGAACGATCGGGCGTATAGATACTATAATAAGCTCCGGTATACTTAGTTAGTAGATAGTCGTCCTTAGAGGACTCGTCGAGCGTATATATATATTTCTCTTATATATCGTCTACGTCTTTTATATAGTTCGCGGTATGCAGCTATTATAAAAGACTACTATACGAGCCTTACGACCCTAGATAGCTATAGTAAGTTACGTAACTTTTAGGACGGTTAAGTATTTAAAGAGTTCCTTCGCGAGGAACTCAACCTATTTAAAGATATTATGGATATTAGACTATAACTCTCGCTAGATAGTATTTAGCTAATATTAGAACGATACGGTTATAAGTCTACCCCCGTTATTCTATTTAACCTTAACCTCCCCCCGGTAGAGCGCTATAAATAAGGAAACGAACTCGTGTCCCTAGTAATACCCGGCCCGAAGAAATATAAGAATCTCGATAGCTACCTCCTACCACTTATTTAGGAACTTAAGGTCCTCGGCAATAGTATTCTAGTATAAGATTTAGACGTAGATAGGTAGTTTATTCTTTACGCTTATATCGTCCTCGTAACCGGCGACGGCCCGGCTATTACGAATGCGATAGGTATAAAGCGTCTAGGTAATACTAAAGCACTATATAGAACGTATTTAAGGACCTCCTTTAATACCGTTACCGTCGGTCGTAAGTCGATATACTACCTCCCCTATAAGGGTGATCTAAGGTAGCGCGTACGCCGGTATTTACGACGAGATATTAAGGACACCGTAGATAGCGGCTACGCGCAGACGATGTTAATAGTAGATAATATTTTCTACGGAGTAACGCTAAGGCAGGGATACATATATTCCTAACGGTAATATTTACTTCCTATCCCATAACGCACTTAAATATCTAGAAACTAATATCTTCTATATAATAGGCGTTACGCGAAAGAGTATCCTCCTAGAGCTTAAGTTCCTATACTTCCCTCGTAGCTTCCCGGTCGACCTTATATATTATATCCTATATAACGTTATGCACGGGCTCTTTGCCCTCTAGATAGGTAATAAGTTTCTAGGCGATACGTCGAGTTACGTTCTACGAAGCTCCGCGAAGCTTAGCTTCGCTTAAATCTTCGCCTACGCGAAGAAGGATATACCTACGGCCCTAGGGGCCACCCCCCGCGATCTAATAACGCGCTATAAGTCTTTTAAGGCTTCTAAATAGGATAGCTTCTTACGATACTAGGGTCTTTCACTCCTATATAAATATCTATCCGTAGAGGCTTATATAAACCTCTACACCCTTAGGACGTTATACGTCATTACTACTAAGCGCGAGATCGAGTATAAGGATATACTACTTCTTACGTTAATATATATTAACTTTATACGCGAGTACGAACGGATCTACTATAACTCCGAAGATCTAAACACCCTTCGCGTGTATATTATTAACTTCCACTCGATTCTTTATCTACCCGTCTACGTACGCGATTATAGGCCGGCATGCTATACCTAGGCGTTTCTAATAGAGCGGATCTACGGCCTCGTTACGTCCTTAGTAAGCTTAAAGTCTTATATAGGTAGTAGCGTGGCTAATGCGTTAATGCGTAGGGAGCACCTATACTATATACGACTCCCGATTAATACACTAACAATCGTTCTATTATAGTAATACTACCCCCGCCTACTTAACGCCTATTCTTTCGAGTAGCATATAATCCGGAAGACGAAGCTAGTTACTCGCTTTAGAGAGAATACGGTGCGCTATATCTAGTACTACCGGCGCTGCCAGCCGCGCGAGGGCAATATATTCGGCTTAAAGGCTTCTCTTAAACTACGCAACCCCAACAATCGACGCAACGATAGTTACGCCGCGTATAGTAACGGAAGTAGTCGGATAGAAGTATATACGATATACTTCTATCTAACCGTGCGAGGCCTAGATAAGTAAGATAGCGAGTATATATACGTCTAAATAGTTACGGGCCTAGAGCTTAACGAGAAGGATAATACTAGCTATATTACCTATCTAAACACCTACGGCTCTCGGTTCTTTATAAACGTTCGTAACCTCCGGTGTCTTATTAGCGTTATTTACGAGACCGATCGATCGAATAGGAACCCTAACCGCGAGACTCATATAGTAGTTAGTATATAGAATACGGTGGAAAACATTAATATAATATAGTAACGTGGGTACCTACCAGGCTATCTAGTTAACACTATAGAGCTAATATATCGTAATAGATCTACCGTTACAGTTAGTGGGACGGGTTAGAAACCGCAATAAAAATAGTAGCTAACCTCTAGCTATCTCGGCGTTTAGGCGTTTAGGCGTATAGGCGTCTTTTTCCTATATAGCACCCGTTAAAATTAAGTAAATACACGAATATATATATAGAATATAGCATATATCGTGTAAACTACACGATATACCGTATAAAATACACGATATACCGTGTAAAATACACGATATACCGTATGAAATACTATCGTTTCGCTGTGTCTTTACGTGTATTTCATACGATATATCGTGTATTTCACACGACTAGCTATTGTAGAACACACGATATATCGTGTAGTTAACTATAAATATCGTGTATTTTACACGATATATCGTGTATTTTACAATTGCTGGAGTGTAAAATACACGCTAAGACACAGCGAAACGACAGTGTAAAATACACGATATATCGTGTAAATTTACACGATATATCGTGTAAGGATCGCCCGTAGTGACCGCCGACAAGACCAAGTCTTACTTTCCCTTCGCCAACGACGGCTGGTCCAACGACGAAGAAGCGACCGCGACCTGCTTCTGCAGCGCCGTGCAGCTGAAATTCGTAAGTCTCCGATCGCCCACGTCCTCGTTCCTCCTCCGACCATTTCGCTCACCACCGCCCCGCTCCAGCCCACCCAAGGCCCCGCCCTCGTCAACTCCTTCCTCTGCAACTGCAGCGACTGCCGCAAAGTCACCGCCTCCATGTTCGCTTCCAACTTCTGCATCGACGACGCCTACCTGACGCACGTCCGCGGCCAAGACAAGCTCTCCAGCTGGGGCCAGTCCAAGACCATCGCTTCCGGGAACACGATGACGAACTATTTCTGCAAGACGTGTGGGACCCTCATGTATCGCAAGAGCTCCGGCTTCCCCAATCTCAGCGTCATGCGTATTGGCACCGTGGATGATTTCGCGCTGCACGAGACGAAGCTGAAGCCGACGGTGGAGCAGTTTGTCAAGGATCGCGTGTCTTGGCTGAGTGGCGCCGAGGGCGTGGAGCAGGAGTCGGGGAATGTGGTGGGGCAGGGGAAGTAGAGAGGGAAGGAGAAGTCGGTTCGCCCGCCCCCCTGGGGGTTTGGAGGTCGGGAGTTGAGAGGTTCTGCGGCCCTCTGCTTTTAGTTGAATGAGATGCTTTATTATGATGATGCTTCTGCGCTTGAGGGTATTTGGCAAGCAATCTCAGCGCGAGTTGGAGCGTGCCGCCCCAGAAACGCTTATCGGGAAGCCTCAACCCCGCACTCTGCTCCTCTTGCGGGGGTGACGGGAACGTGTCGTCAGCTGTTGTGACCCTATGCTGGCCCATTAACTTTCCCCACCCGTAGGATTCGTCTCAGACAGCGTTCACAGAGACCTTTTGACCATTATTGGAGATCGCAGGCGGCGCATCTGGGGAAGACTCGCGTGAATTTCGGCGGACAGCTCTATGAAGAAAATGGTACGGAATCGAGGAAGCAGCTTGCAAGGCGGGGTACCTTGATCCTATCCGAACACGCGTTAGCTTATATCATTCATGACCCTATGCAGGACAAGAGTGACCTACTACCTGCTGTTGAGGTGAGCCACTACACCATGCCTGCTATCCACTAACGCTGATCATGATGACGATTTTGTTGAAAACTTCACGTTCGGCTTCACTTGAGTCCCATATCTACGGCACAGCTGAGTTCTCACTGACACTGTTATCAGAAAGCGGGTTCCAATTAAGTATATTGAAGCCGCGAGGCTTGGAGACGAAAACGTGACTCCCCTCTACCCAAGAGATACCAACACATCCAAAACGTTAAGCGGGAAAAAACTAAGACTGCTTCTCCAGGCCGTTACCCGGCGGGACCGGGAACGGGCAGCGCTGCAAGAAGTTCCGGCACGGCAAATCCGACGGGCTGTTGTCCTGCTTGTTCATGAAAACCTCGTTCGGCCCGTACCCCGTCTCGATCTGATGGACCCGTCAGTACGCACGCACTCGGCAATCGCAATGGCTTCTTTCGTAGACTTACGTTCACGCAACCACCGCCGGAATGGTCGGCGTGGCCGTTGCTGCAGTAGGCGCACTGCTTCGATGTCCCGAACGCGTCCCCGTCCCAGATGTTCAGTCGGAAGAATCCCGAGTAGGAGAAGGAGAGCGCTTCGTGCAAGTCCCCGCCGTTGACCCGGTTGTCCGTCCCGGAGCCCGTGTGGCCCGTCCACATCTCATCACCGGAGCAGTCGCGACCGCGGAAGAATGTGACGGTGCCTTCGGCGGCGTAGGCGAGCTGGAACAGGCCGGCGCCAAGGAGGAGGGAGTTGATGATGTTGACCATTTTGCTTTGGTTTGGGTTGGTTTCGTGGGTTGGAAGGTGAGTGTTTGTTTGTTTGATGAGCTACAGAGGGCAGGACAGGCACTCCTTAAGTATTCCGGTCTGCTCTCATGGATGCTGGCAGCTGGTTTCCGTCTACCGTCAAAGGGGAATCCAAGGCAGTTGGTGATGTGCAAGCCTCCTTCTGCTCAAGGAAAACACCGAGACCATTGTCCGGTGCGCAGAGGCCTCAATGTGTTGGAGTTTTCGCGGGCCAATGAGAGACCCGGATGGATGTGTTGGAGCCTCAAGGCGCGGGAGGTTTTCTGAACCAATGAGGAGCTTGGATGCATGGGAGCGGGCGAGGCTCAAGGAGGATCGATGCGCATCTGCTCCGTGCGCCTGCTGGGGCTCCAGATCGAGCCCACGGGGTGCGCCTTTGGGGGAATCCCGCGACCCGCTTTAGCCCAGTTGGAGAAAAAGATCCTCCCGTTCCTTCTCGTGTAGAGTGGGTTCCAACGTGAACAGTTGCGACGCCGGCGGCTCGCCTTGTTCGTTGTCTAATGTCTTTGTAGCGGCGGACAGCATGCATCGCTGGGAGTCTTTCTGGGCGACACCCTGCAGTGGGCCGGCCGTATGACATGCATCGCCATAACGTGCAGACATGCAAGGCACTGTGGGAGTCCATCTCTCCCGTTGGCCCACCGGAACCGGATGCCGGCAAACGGAGCGACCTCCTTTGCGGGCTTGGGGGCCAATCGAAGCACGTTCCTCACAGCTCGGATGGGGGCCAAAATCAACGGAAACTCGGCATCCAGGTCGCCTTTCCGACTGCGTAGCATACAAAGCTTAATTTAGCTGTGGGTCTTCTTCGTATTACTTGGTATTCGAGCCGCCGGCTAAGTTTCCATTTCTTTTCCGAGCCGTCACATTGTTACTGCTCACAAGCCGTGATGATGACGTAGTGGCTCAACCTGCTGTAGTGTTTTGATGGCGTAGTGCTTTTCTGTTCATGCAGCCTCCTGACTTTCTCACGAGGTACTTCACGGCCCTGGCCGTCCGTCTTTAGCGAAGACTACAGCTCCTGATATCGCGCACGTAAGCTCCAAGACCTACTGAACTACTAGTGCTTGCCCGTCTACATGTACCATGATTGAACTGTTAAGATACCGGTACGCCGCAAGAAGGGTGGTCACCACATAATAATAGGACACGTCGCTGTAGAGCTTAATTACGAACGTTTCAGTATGACTCTATGTCGTCATAGTGGGAAAAGAGATGGTTTCGCTGCTTCGGGGGCCAGCCAACGACAACGTATGTAGCCTGTGATATGCACGTGAATTAGGAGCTAAAGAACGCTCCTGTTTGGCCTTGGATAGGTCGAGCGATCAAATACTGGAAACAAGAGATTCGGTGTAGTGCCTTGATGTGTGAATCTCACAAAGCCAGGGAGCGCCCTTGGGCCTGGCCGTTGCACAATGAAACCTGAGCGACTATTCGATGGGGTCGTAGATGTGTTACAGAGGAGGATAAGAATACGACAGGACAGCAAGGGAGAGGATACTACCTGGCTGATCCTGGCTATGATGTGGTTGCGCATTTACTGCGCAAGGCTGGGCAGGGTTTCGCCCAGACTGAGGAATGCAACCACTCGGGCCAGACCTGTCTCCATAAAGGTGTTTCGAACCCTGGTTTTAGACATTATCTCATTATACTTCTTTCCTACTCATCAGGTGAGCCAGGTCAGCCCTCGGATCCTGGAGACACCACCAAGGCCCCTTTCCCCACCCATGTTCAATCATGGAGGCTACCGATAACCGCCCACTCATACCTCCAGCAACATCAATCGCTGAAGCAGAGAACATCTCGAGCTGCTCTCAGATTCAACCAGACAATGGTCTCCCCCAAGTCGTTGCCTCTGATTTCCCCGAGGTCGCAGAGATATGCTACCCTCAGGTTATTGACACGTCCGCACCCGAAGCACTCAACAGAGAGCTCCCCGAAGTGACACGGGAAAAACGCGACGGAAAGACGAGGCGAAAAAGGCTCTGGCTGATCCTTGGAACCATCGCTTTCCTAGCTGTGGCAGTTGGTGCTGTTATTGGAGGAGTTCTTGGTTCTCGGACCAAGACGATTGGCACCCGGAAACCAGCACAGCAGCCGTCCATGCCACCTCAGCTGCTTCCATCCACCTCCCTGGTGAGCTTCAACTATACAGACAATGATGGAACTGAGCATCGCCGCCTTCTCTTCCAAAAGACGGATGGAGTACTCTACCAGTCCGCTTGGAATTCATCGTCCAAGTCCTGGGTAATGTCAGCTGTGAGTTCCCCGGAGAGGCAGCAAGACCCAGGCATCAACTTGGACGTCAAGCATGGAACTCCCCTCGCTGGAGGAGTATGTTTGCTGTCAAACACGGTAGGAATGCAAGCCCTTTATAACTTATGCTCTCTGCTAACCTGGCAGACCCGAAACTTCCACTTCTTCTACCTCGACAACGGAGGCGCAATCAGAGAGCTTTTCGCGGAAAACGACGCCGATGGCCTATGGAAAACTGGTCCCTCGGATAACAAATTCAAGGCAAGCTCGGCGTCCAGGCTTGCATGGTACGGTAGATCCTGCCTGGATTACTGCAAAGATTACGACGTACTCTTTTACCAGTCGGCGGACAGAAGAGTACAGTATTTGCTCTCGGGACCGAATTTTGCACTCAGTACTTGCTCCCACGCATGGAAAAGTCGAAGATTGCGGACGTCTCGTTCAAAAGCGGTGTCGGTGCTGTCACGTTGAAAGGCGACAGGTGGAGGGTGCCGCATCAGAGAGACCACACCGTGCCATGGGATGACGAAACTCTCGCAAAGAAAGCAGCGCCCGCTATTCATTCCCTTCCCGCACTGGTGGCGTTACTCACAATCGCTGGTGTGGTAGCGTGGCGAAGAAAGAGTCCCCAAGGTTCCTGTATATCTTTATCTTCGTGTTTCTTTTTATTTCCTCTGATTTCATAGTAGGGAATAGATGGGTGGTAATTACTACTTTTTATCATTGATTGTACTGTATGTGTTCTCTGTTGGCAGTTGAAGCATCCACCGGGGTAGATTCAGTTTGATCTAATTAGATGTATACCTTAGCCGCCACTCACCTGCTTCGCATGTTTGTGCGACCCGGTGCGCCATATTTGTTCAACATGGCCGGGCCAGTCGCTGCACAGCGTAAGCTTACATACAGTACGAACTGCATTTGGAAAGATAGGTTGGATGACCCGCCCGCCCGCATGCCATCCTAGATCCTTCAGCCTCGCGGTCTTTCTACAAGCGGCACACTCCTGGCTACTCCTACAAGGCTAGGCCATATACCATAGTTGCTATTTCAGGCAGGTGGATACATGACACAGTTCCGCAGCGTTAGTAAAGACAGCGCCTCGGCCGCTACGTACGCTCGCATGCATGTGGTTGTACGTAATTACCCCTCAAATAATGGAAAGGAGTAGGCTCACAGCACCCAGAATCTCGGCGACATCGTTCAGCCTCATTTCCTTTTCAAGTACTACACTGGTCGAAGTGGGAGTGATCTTGTCAGCTCAGTTTATATTAAGCCAGGCGGATTTCATTTGGGGCTTTACACAAGAACGTTTACGACTGGTAACTACACCTTGTAAAATAATGGAATGTGTCCTGGTCAGGGCAGTTGTTGATCTCTGGGGTGCTTGAAGGTAGAAAGCGATTCCGACAAGTGATAATGCATCGTAGAAAGATAGTGCAGGTGTTTGCCAAAGAGCCCACGCGCTAGCAGCACGAGGACGCGTAACGCAAGAGATCAAGTAGTCAGCCCGCATAGAGTCGTGCAGCTAGATAATGGTGTGGCGATTACGAATGCTGAGAGGTGATGTGATAGGCCAGAGGCTTATCCGTCCGTGGAGAAAGGGCAATCTCACGCAAGCTATCGGCTGCTTACAACCCTGCTGTATGCCAGCCAAGCCGGAGCTGAACGATGCGGATTGCCGCCTGAACAGGCGCCTTCTGAACCGACGACAAGGCTGAAGAATAATCCAGCTCTCTTATTAAGCCATAGACTGCTCAGAAATCGGTGTGACTGTCTCACCGTTCAGTCTCAATTTTCTCACCTCTTGAGCAAAGCATGTCGCAGTCCATAAGAGGCCGCAGCGATTCCTTGGCGGCCCGCAATTCACCTTCACGGCAAGTGTCAAAGAGACCAGCGCGATCTCCGTCTTTATCTGTCAGAACACCATGCGATCCGTACAGAGACTTGCACCGACTGGACGATCGTCTCATCGACCTGGATGGCACAGGCTCCTCAGCCGCCTGTACTCACCCGTACGTAGCCAAAGCGCATTGATACATCAGCTACCACTAACACAGAGGCATTGCAGAGATCGAACTCCGCGCGAGTTACAGCCACAGCCTAGCCTTCTTGACCTGATCGATGGCCCTTCCAGCACAATCTATCAGCCATTTGCCACCGAGCAGCTGGGCCTGAGTCTGCAGCCCCCCGACCAAAGATATACAGAAGAGTGCCAGGATTGCGGCTCTACGAGCGAGGCTGTTAGCTTCTGCAACGTGTGTGATCTTGTTTATTGCGCGGAGTGCTGGGACCGACAACTCCCACACAGGCGGCGAAAGCTCGGGCCCGGTGGGATTCCTCATGAAAAGACTTCGGCTTCTGTCGCACAAAAAGTGCAGCAAGTTCTGGAACCGCCCACTGATGAGTATACCAGAGAGAGATTGCACTTCCAGGATGCAGAGACAGCATGGTTTGGTATTTCGCGGCCTGATGACGGACCGCCGCTCTTCCAGGACTATGGCCGCTTCACTGAACTGATGGAGCTGACTGAGGATACCACAGCGGGGCCGTTCAGTGCTGGATCCGCTGCAGCGGCCACTCGGGACAATCGAACCCCAAGTTTGGTCTCATTTGTCGGGGAGACGGGCGCGGGCAAGAGCACCCTGATCAAGCTCCTTATTGACCTCAATACAGAAGCTTGGGAGAACTACGCAACCCCTGTTGTAGGGGCCTCGGGTGTTGACGTGCCAACTTCAGAGGACGTGCACCTTTACATCGAGCCCCGCACAGCAGAAACCGATGCGCCCGTCTTATTCGCCGACTGTGAAGGCCTGACTGGAGGCACCCGAGAGCCTTTGGGCGCTGTGTTCAAGAAGAAGCGGAGAAAAACCAGCCCAAGGGGATCCGATTCATCTGATCGCCTTAGTCGTAAAGGAAGACTGATCTCCGAGAGAGATATATCATGGGCTGACAATGCACGCTCAAGAAGCAGAGAGTTTGCAGTGACGAATCTCTACCCACGACTTCTATACACCTTCTCTGATGTTGTAGTTTTTGTTCTACGCAACCCCCGGTAAGGTCTCCTTTCCGCTGCAAATGGAATTCTAACAATAGGCAGTGTCGTGGAAAGCGTCTTTGAAAGACTGATTGAATGGGCAGCGGCAGCGCTCGAGATGTCGTCCAATCAACCAGTCTTACCTCATGCTGTTATTGTCCTGAACGCTTGTGGCAATGACATCGATCCATCTCTATGGAATCCGGAAATCACGACCGAAAAGATTCTTGAGTCTTTATCCCGCACCGTCAACCAGAACAGAGTGTTTAAAAAGCAAGCGCAGATCTGGAGAGAGAGGAACTGCCAGATCGAGACCGTCGAGCAGTTGATGCGTTCTTTTTATAGCTCTGTAATCGTGAGTTTAACCCCTGGGCTCTGTTACTGCTTTCAATGGTTGACATTGGCCAGATCATCCGCATCCCAGCCGAAGGCAGACCGAAGCTCATCCAGCAGCAAGCAGAGACATTGTACAACAGCATCCGTGAAGCTTGCAATTCAGCAAGAGACAGCAGAGCTGATCTGCGGATGTTGTTCGATGTTGAGGAATTGCAATCTTATCTCGACTGCGCTTGTGATCACTTTGCACGGACCTTGGACCAACCATTCGACTTCGTCCAGGCGTCACTTGCCAACAGCCCAATACCACTGGATTTTGGCGGAAATGTTCTCAAGCTCGCTATCAGCCTCATGGAAGCGTGGAAGGACGAAGTGGACGCAAGGACGATCTTCCAAGAGCTCAGCTACATGGTGGCTTCATGCATCATGTTCGACATCGCTCGGAACAAAAACAAAGGTAAGGTGACTTTTATCCAAAGTACATACATCTGCTTACGTGCTTTTGAGGCTCTATTGATTCGATGTTCCCACATTACCTAGACCATCTCGACGCGGCTCTCGAGAACTTCTGCAATAGCCACTGGCCGTGCGAATTCGTCAAGCCCGGAACCACTTCCAGATGCGTCAATGTAAGAAGCGGCCACGCAAAAGGGCACCAAAGCAAAAATGGTAAGGTGTTGGCCGTGGGCATCTACCAGTCACATTTTTCCTATACCACGCATCGCGAGGAGTTCGAGAGGAACGTATATTTCAACCTGAAAGACCTGCACGCTGTTCTATGCGAACGGGTCCGTGACGGAGAACCGGAAGATATTGTGGCTGCTGACGTTCACCAAAACACTGTTCTGGCAAACTTCGTTGCGCGTTGCTCACGAGACCGCGGGAATTCCCTGTTCAGCAGCCATACCGCTTGCTTCTGCTGTCTCTTCGAGCTGCCGGAGCACGCCCTACCGTGCGGGCATATCATCTGCACGTCTTGTGCTCAAGTATTTGGGTCGTCGTCGGTGAATGAGCTTACAGTTCCTCGTTGTCCAATCTGCCCCCCGGAAGCCAACGAGTGTCATTACAAGATTCCCCTCAAGCCAAAGGGTGCAGGAGTTCGCATTCTGACGCTGGATGGGTAAGTGACTAGTATTCGCTTTCGCTTAGTAGCCATTCATTGACTTTTTTGCAGTGGTGGAATGCGCGGCATTGTTGAGCTTGAAGTTCTTCTCGCAATAGAGCGCGCCATGGGCGGGAAGCTTCCAATCCAGAGCTTCTTTGATCTCATAGTTGGCACAAGGTACGTCAGGGCATTGTACAAAATTTATTAAGTAACTGAAATGAAACAGTACCGGAGGACTCATTGCGCTTGGACTTGTGGGGAAGGCTTGGTCGGTTACCGAATGCTTGGAGCACTTTGAGAGGCTTTGCAACCAGGCCTTCACGCGGCGAGCCGGTGGAGATTTGCCCATCGTAGGCTTTTTCATCAACAGCTACAACCAATCCCTCTATGAGACGTCGCCACTCGAGAAAGCCCTGATGGATGCGTTTGGGGACGATGAGTATCTCTTTGGTGGCCGAAGCGGAATCAAACCGTACAGGGTCAGAGTTGCCATTACGACGGCCTCAGCAGCAACAGGGACACCGATTGTGCTTTCAAATTACAATCGTGCGTGTTCAGAGAAACGTAAGGAGCCCACTTTACCATCAAGACTGCGGCTAAGCCATCCAGTGCCATATCAGTTCCAGAGAGCCGAGACACTTGCGTCAGAGCTCAAGCTTTGGGAAGCGTAAGTACCGAATCTGGAGTACTTTTTACTATGACTGACAAGAGTCGGCAGTGGGAGAGCCACTTCTGCAGCACCCCGTTTCTTCAAGTCATTCAACCACGAGCCCTCGAGACAAGTGTACCTCGACGGCGCACTATACCACAACAACCCTATAGCAATCGCCCAACGGGAAAACAACTTGATTTGGCCTGAGCAACCCTCTGAATTCCCGGATGTTGTTGTTTCCCTCGGGACTGGTGCTTCGTTGCGCGATCGACAAGTCAACTCCGACCATCTTATGACGCCTCAACAATCGCGGCGAGGCATCTTCTCCTACGGTAAAAGTCTCATCAAAATTGCTAAAGACATCATCGACTCGTCCTTGGACTGCGAGAAAACTTGGGAAGCCTACATTAACGGATTGCCCAAAACTTGCGAGTCCTCTCGATTTGTGCGCATCAACCCAGAAGTTGCTGATCTACCTCAGCTTGATGACATCGGTGAAATGAAGAGTCTGCAGACTCGTGTCCAAAATAAACTACAGAATCCAAGGTATGAGGACATTCTTCGGCGCCTTGCCATGCGCCTTGTGGCTACGAGCTTCTTCTTCGAAGTGCAAGAACCCATCTCAGATGACAAGATCGTGAAAGGTATGCTTACTCATCTAATCCAAGAGCTATGCTTACCGCTTCAGGATCCATTTGTTGCCGTCTGCCAAAAGACTCCCCAGAGGTGGGCGAACTTGGCAAGCTGATCAGATCCTGGACTCCGTCGTACGGCCAGTTGCCCTTTTTTTTCATTTACGAAAAAGGATCAGACATCACCACAGCGCAGAAGATACCAATATCCGAGGACATGATCAAGACGATGGTGGTCTTCTACGAATTCCGCATGCCTCGGAGGAGTGTGCAGCTTCAGCTGTCTAATACATTTGCGCCGACGGAGATACAACTCTGTTTCAACCAGAGCGACGCCTTCCCAATCAGTGGCTTTCCCCGGATACTTTTTGAGGAGTCTTTGGAGAACCGGACCAGTAAGTCAAGGCAAAGACACGCGAAGCCTAGGACTAACAGTATGTTTCTACCAGATTCACGCAGGAACCTCGCAGTTACAAGCTCGAGGCGGAATCGGTGGGTGTCGCAATTTGGTGATCGGCCACAGAGAAAATGGACACCACCAACAGGCGACATCCACCGGACCGCGTCAGTCACGGGCTACGCTCAGTCTACGAATCCCCTTGGTTATGCATCGCAGGAGGACCTTCTGGCAATGGCGCACACTCTGAAATACGGCGCGCCTCCTACTCAGTATACCGTGGCGGCAGCGCCTCAAAACACTGGAACGCTAGCTTCTGGTACTGCATATCTACGAGGCGCGCTTCGCGGCCTTGTCCACCGGTCAAGGTCTCCGATGACCGGTACAATTGCAAACTCGCAGCCTCCAGGAACGCAGCAAACCCCGCCAATCGAACCGTATCCGCCTATCATGCCAGAGCTCATCGGGGATCATATATACAACGACGCCACCTCATCCACCGGCGTTTATGAGATGGACGCCGAGAGCTCCTATCCCGTTGAGCTTCCTGGATAGGTTCCATCGACTTCAACTCCGAATGTACATGGTGATTCTATGTATGTGATATGGTGGAGATCCACTCAATGGGGACCCAGGAATCGCTGCATCGCTGGTCAAGCCAGAGCTCGAATGACTTTTTGTTTCACGGGTAACCTGGGATATGAATTTGGGCAAATTGTAGTGCAATCATGTACCTACGGTGGTGAGTCTTTAAGATATTCGTCAGAGATTTAGTTCGCAATAGGTTCTTCTTTCAGGGTTATTTTAACATACTTCTGGTTCGGTTTAAACTTGCTCTACATCACTCTACTAATAAAATACTCATGCAACGCTTGCTGTATTAACGCTTTAACTCTTGAGCTGGCAGATACTAGCACTATAAACTTAGCTAGTTGCAATACCTTCGATAAACGTTTTCGATTGTAAAGGGAAAGTGAGTAAACTAATACGGTAAAAGTTCGCTATATTAGCCAAACCGGCTTCGTAGCATAAGCAGAGGGCATCGATCCAGAAATCACGACCAGGGTACTGCCGCTGCGCAACATCCAAAAAGTTCTAAAGGTTTTATCGGACTGTGAAAGGCTTGCCGTTGATCTTGATAGCTGGCTTGGTACCGCTGGAATTGCCCCATTCGTAGGAAAGACAGATGTAGACGGACGACTCGAGCTTTTCCACTTGCATCTGACATCTTATGGGTCTTCCCCATTGTCGTGGGAGGACCTTGACCAACCGGATCCTGTGGTCCGCATAGTCAAGCGGTTCATGACGGAAGCCAGTTGCAGACGGAGGTGTGGTCATTAGCAGCGATAAAGACAAATATTAGATCGAAAGGAGTGTAGAGTATAAGGGCTTGTAGAGCTGTAGGGTCTTCGTATTTGTAAACGACAACTCACCGCTCCCTCGTAGCTGGGTGGCGGTGCTGGGGCTGAGATTTCGACGCTCCACTTCCACGTCACACCCGATGCTGCGCCACCGCGGGATATATGCAGCAACGGTCACGACTCAAATCTGTGAGAGTCCGTAATGCTCAAGGAAAAACTTCAAATCGATTGCGATAATATCTAAGCAAGCCGGCGTCGCTGTAAAGAAAGTCGTTTCAACCATTCCAAGTACCAATCGCCCTGTCGAGAACAGAGCGTGTACTCAATCCATCGTCCAGGGCCAAGGAAAAAGATTTCAGAAGCTTCTGGGCTCGCCTTTCGAGGTCTTAGCCATGTATTTGGCTCATGCCCTGATCCCTTTGTCAGTCCAGTCTCTCAACGTTCAGATGTGGCGGAGAAACACTCACCTTACTGGCATGTGTAAGTTCCCAGTGTCTTGTCCATTGCACAAAGGTTGCTGCAGCAGCTGTTGACGTCGTTGATGCATTCAACTGGTTCACAATTTCCGTCAGTAGATGTACGAGAAAAGACCGCAAAGCGTGGACTTACCGCCGTTGGCGATGCACCTTGCCTGCAGAAGGCCCGACGCCTCCGGTGCTTCGCTTGCCGGAGCTGCAAGGGCAGAGGCGAGGAAGAGGGTAATGATGGAGAGAGAGAAACGCATGGTGAAAGGTAGTTGATGTTTTGGTTTGAGTGGTATTTGAAGAAGCTGAGTGAACCGTGTCTGAGCTGATGAGTTTGATGTTAAGTTCGAAGGCAGAAGGAAGCATCTTATACCCGTTCAACCGCCCGACTGTGTGGGGTCTGGGAATCCAATGAGCTACCTAACGGTGGTGGAGTGCGTCAGCCGGATGATGGAGAGCGTCGCCCGGTTGATGCGGGACCGCTCAAGCTGCAGCCTGGCATTCGACTCTGGCAAAAATTCCCTCAACGTGGTGTATGTGGTGTTGGTTTCGAGCAAATACTATCCTCCTGTGTGGGGTATGAAATCCATCGAGCCATCTCATGGTGGTGGTGGAGAGCGTCAGCCGGATGACGCGGAACCGCTCAAGCTGCAGCTCAGCATACAGTTCGAGGCAAAACATGCTGGAATGTGGTGTTGGTCTCGAGTCCATACTGCGCTGGGGGTTACCGCCCTTGTAATCCTGCTGTGCTTACTCACAGGGTTACGATCCTGCTCGGGTGGGGCGTAGTGGCATTGCTTAGCCCGGTTGTGGCTGACTGTCAGACACGATAATCTCGAATGGTCGCTGAGGATTCTTCACGTCCCGAACAAGTACGCTAGGGCAACCTTCCAGCCCAATGCCCCACGTGTATATTGTTCCTGGTTGTGCGCGGCTTCGTATGTCACCGAGTGGGGGCCATTTCAGATGTGGGGGTTCCAATCTCAATAGATGCTTCGGCCCACATATCTTATCAGCAGGAAGAAGCAGAGGAAGTATTCGATAGGCCGCTGGTGTCTGACTCCAACATAGTGTAAGAAGGGCTTGAAGATGGGATAGGCTCGCTCAAGAAGTAAGCAAGACGGGCAGCAACAACTTGCGACATTACCTAACTGCCCAGATCAATACACGAGGTTTCCGTGATGATCAAGAGTTCGGTCTTTCTGCGCGACCTCTTTGCGATAAGCAACAGTCCCATGTTCAGCTTGTCTTCCATTTTTGATCCGTCGGTTGAGATAAAATCGCCAATAGGCTGATCAGAGCAGGGGTAGAATGAAACTGCTCCGATTCTCGGCAGCTTTCGATCCCAAAATGGAACAGCACACGCAATACACGACAAGGATGTTATAGCCAACGACGCATGCGCATGTCTAATTAGCGTGATAGGTACTTTCCAGATCTGACAAGTTGGATCCTGGAATGGGGCTCAGTTAACCATGTCCACGACACCACCGCAATCCCTTGTTCCTTTTTCGGACACCAGTCAGCAAGCTCGGTTTCGGGTCATCCACTATGTCCTCTTGGACAGCAGACAGCACAACCGACATCGGGTCATCCTGAAGAAGTTGGGGGTCTGCCGCGCCTGTGGCAAAGATGGTGAGTAAGCTGCTTCGGCCTCGGGTTTAAGAGAGGGAGTGCGTCGACTGTTGATAAAATCCGGGACCAAAGCCGATGGTGGGCGCGATCCAGTGTACCGACTGCTGCAACGACCAGCCGTACCTACTGGTAAGCATTACAACCCGACCGGCTTGGGGACGGTTGGCCGACTGGCTACGGCAATCTACGAGCATTTAGAGGTCAACGCTAAGCGGGATTCCGGCGCTTCGCATCTATAGCACACGAGGCCGTCCCGTTTCCTACTATATCGGCCATCGACAGCAATCTAAGGAGGTTACTATAAAGTATTTTCCAACATCTTATAAACGAAGTATAATAATATAGTTTAAGTACGTATTTATTATTCTTACTATCTCTATAGCTTCGACCGCGTCTAGCCGAGAAGAGAAGTCTAAGATCGAGAAAAAGCGGTCTTAATAAGCGGAGTAATAGTCGCGATATATATTAACTAGTAGCGAGAATAATATAAAAGATATTATAATATTAACGTCTATATATTCTTCTAGACTATTTCTTCGCCGGCGAACGATATTAAAGAATATAAAAATAACTATAATAATAAATATTAAAGTTATATAAGCTTATAAAATATAAAGACTTATTAAGATTTTACTCTAATACTATAGAATAGGTATTTAGATCTCTAATCCCCGCTAAACTTAAAATCGACCGTACGAGTTAACCGTTTTTTAAATATCTATATTTTTTCTATTTCTAAATACTACTTACTATTAAGGGCGTACTAAATTTCTCTTAGTTATATATTATCGTAGACGCGTATACGCTTATCGAAACGGGCTTAAAATTACGGGTTAATATATATAGATATTATTAATTAATAGATTCTACTTCTATTCTCGGCTCCGCCGCCGGCCCCGGCCCGCCCTTCTAAAGAAATAATAAGATCTAAAAAAAACGATACTAAAAAATTCTTTTATTAGAAGACGATAAAATCTAGATACGAGAGAACTCTTCTTACCTCTAGCTCTAGCGTAGAGGACGCGTCTATTACTACTCTATTTTCTTCTCTATTCTATTATATATATAGCTTTCTAGTATAAGTTTTATTAATTAATACGTTAGCGATTTAGGCTAGCCGACGCCGACCTACGTATTACTAAAATAATAGTTCTTCTATTATCTAAATACGATATTATATCTAGTCGGTTTCTATCGCTATTTAAAATTATTAATCTTATATTCTACTCTACTTTAATCGATCGTAGCCCGCTCTATTCGCCTAAAAGATAGACTCTAAAGTTATTAGTATATTATTATTTATATCTTACTATACTACGCTTACGTTATACGACTACTAGGCTAAGCCGCGTCTTTTCTACTACTAGCCGCCGGCGTATTACTAGAAAGATAATAGAATAGAAGCTCTTTAAAGCCGTTATCTTATTAATAAATAAAATCTATCTTTTTATACTACTACCCCTCTCTACTTCTCTAATAAAATCTATATTCTAGTATTCTTTCGCCGCGTTAGCTTTCTCTCTTACTATCTTTTTTAAATCTACTTATTCTCTTATCCCCCCTCTAATATCTATTAATTAATAAAACTCGCTTCTTCTAATCTTTCTTCTTTTCTACTTTTAAATAGTACTACCCGCGCCTATTACTATTATTACGAGCTAGAGGTTCGACTTATTCGCTTTTTATATAGGTTTTCGCCTAGTATATATCTATACTCTTAACGCTAATCGCCGTCGCTAGTACTAGAAATATTAACGTAGAGCCTACTATCGCCTATAAAAACTAGTCTATTTACTAACGATATAGACGTCGACTTAAGCGGCGTAAATTCTAACGTATTTAATACTACTAATAAACTCTCGTCGTTATCGCTTTAAACGCACGAAGGGCCTAATCTAGATTAATATAATTTATACGTTAGTCGAAACGATATACGTATCTAGATAGACTATTATTCTTAACGGGCGTCTATATCCGTAGAGTTTCTTTTTTTCTCTAACGGCTATAGTAGTTACCCTCTATCTTTTAATCTTAATTTTAATAGTAAGCCCGTTCGTAACTTTCTATTAGCGGATAGGCGCTCTAGAAACTACGCCTACTATATTCTTAAGTAAGAAGGGGGTTACGAGACTATATAATTTAATAAAACTTACTATCCGCCTAGATAGATAGCCTATATATACTACTACTATTATAGTAGAATTTATAGCCGATTCTTCTATAGTAAATATAGACGGTTAAACGTTTATATTAACGTTCGCGTTATTTTCGAAGAGCGCTACTTCGCCCTTAAGCTACTTAATATTAAGATTATTAGCTATAAAGATTATTACGAAGTAATACCTATACCCGCGTCTATTAATATACTCTTATTCTAAAGTTAGCTAGAAATAATTTAGTAGTACGCTAACCGCGATACCTCCGATCTAAAGAATAAGAAGAAGATCTAACTTAGTCTATATTAATACGTAAACTACTTTTTAGAAGATTTTATAAAGTTATTACTCTTTCGCGTTAAATACTTCCGTTATACCGACTCTAGAAACCGCCTTCTTAATAATAATCCCGGTTCGCGAGTATCGTATATTATAAGTCTAAGTTATTTAGATTTAGAGGGGCGTAGGGGCCGAAACCGTAGAACTTAGCGAAAATTTTAGAATACTAAAATTTTCGAATACTAAAATTTTCGAATATTTCGTTTATCGATTCTTTATAATACTCTACTAGAATATTAACTATAGTTAATATTAAGCGTAACTCTTACGTAAAGCTTAGTAGAAGTAAGCGTAAGTACGTAGCGTACTAAAGCCTAAAGCGTATTTAGTAAAGCGTAACGCTAGCTCTTTACGTAGTACGCGGCGTACCGAAAGCCTATTTAGAAAAGCGTAACGCTCGCCCTTTACGTAATACGTAGCGTACCGAAAGTCTATCTTAAAAAGCGTAACGCTAGCTCTTTACGTAATACGTAGCGTACTAAAAGCCTATCTTAAAAAGCGTAACGCTAGTCCTTACGCGAAAAGCGGCGTACTAAAAGCCTATCTAGAAAAGCGTAATATTAGCTCTTACGTAGTACGCGGCGTACTAGAAGCCTATCTAGAAAAGCGTAACGCTAGCTCTTTACGTAATACGCGGCGTACTAAAAGTCTATCTAGAAAAGCGTAACGCTAGCCCTTACGCGAAAAGCGTAACGCTAGCCCTTTACGTAGTACGCGGCGTACTAGAAGCCTATCTAAAAAAGCGTAACGCTAACTCTTTACGTAGTACGCGGCGTACTAAAAGTCTATCTAAAAAAGCGTAACGCTAGCTCTTACGTAATATACGGCGTACTAAAAGCCTACTTAGAAAAGCGTAACGCTAGCCCTTACGCGAAAAGCGTAACGCTAGTTCTTTATATAGTACGCGGCGTACTAGAAGTCTATCTAGAAAAGCGTAACGCTAGCCCTTACGCGAAAAACGTAACGCTAGCCTCTACGCGAAAATAAGCGTAATACGAGGTTCTTAAGCGAATACGCGGCGTACTACTAACCGTATAAAAAATATACTAATCTTTATCTACTTCGTTACTCTAGAACTTTAATTAGTTTTCTATTCTTTAAAATACTATACGAAGGCTTAAAGAATAGTA